GGTTTTAGAAAGCTTGTATAGGGTAATGAAGTGCTACCTAATTCTGGCTTCTCCGTACTAAGACCATTTTTAATTGTATTCAGTTTCTGATTTTAGGAGACAACCTGTACCGAGAGAGAACTTTCCCTTGAAATTATTTCCTAGAGGTGGCTTGATCCCATAACTTCAAGTAAGCAAGCTTTCAGACTTGGCCTTCTTTCAAACAAATGTTTGCAAGGTCAGTTTTAAAATAAGCAGTGCTTCAGTGGTTATCTTTACTTTATGGCTAGATTGAACAGGCAGTAAAAACATAAAACGCAGTAAAACTGAGTTGTATTCGAAATTTTTGTTCCAGTATTTCACTGCATCCATTCTTCATGAAAGTAGAAGATTGGAAACAGTTGATAACAAATGCCTGCTCTAGACCACTGTTTCCTATCCTGATTAAAAGTTGCTTGAGGCAGACAACAGTAGCAAAAATTACTGCTAGGCTCTTCTCCAGACTAGGCTGGATCTCTGTGCAAATTAATGATGGGTTTACTAGTCTTTTGAGAGATTCCACACAGCAATAGAAGGAAGGCAACAAGCCTGTGAAGTTTAGAGCTTAACATTTAGAGTTGTACCTCTGTACTTTTTGGTCAATGTTTTTGATTTTGAAATGATGAAAAAGGTAACAATAACTTTAAAACAAAGAAAGCACACTACTCATTGTATCCATAGTAAGTTCCTAGGCAGTTCACATTAGCAGTCTTTGATTTTTCAATCTTACTGAAATTTTCAAGTGAAGATACATTTTGAGAAAATCCATTTACTGATCTAATTACAAATAGAGAAAAACAAATGACTTGTAGCTTTTGCTTTACAAAAGTAACTTAGATTTAGGTGCCTTGGGAGCTCAGACATCTAAGTCTTCAGAAGCATTCGTATTAAGGTAGCTTGGGATACAGTGCTGTTAAGAGGATGAAATCTAAAAAGGAATTGTGGGGAGTACTATGTACTGTTAATACATATAAAATTGTGATTTTTGTTCTTCAGAAAATCCTTACAAAAAGAAATTAATCATTATATATAATATCACTTTAGAAAGACTGTAGAGGTTATCCTCAGAACAGGAGGTGACTTCCTCCTTTTGGCTCTAAGATTAATTAGCTTATTTGACTCCAAGTAGGGCTTTGACCTTACTGCTTTATGTAATTTTTTAATAGTATAATAAGCCAAACTGACACATGCTAGCAGAATTTTATTGACACTTTGCTGTGTAATTTCATCAGTTGCACTTCATCTCCTGATATTCTAAGTAACAAGATTACCAGTAGAGCTGTGGCACTGTGCTTATGAGTGTAGAAGTATTTCTGCATTAACCTAATTTCCTGAAAATTTATGGCTGCTGTAAATGTTTTCCACGGGTGACTTCTTGCTGAGCTGCTCCTTGAACAAGCAGGAAAAGCTGGTCAGCAGAGCAAAGCACATAGCTGCCAATACCTTAAGGAAAATGTTGCTGGCTTTTACATGTGTACCATAAAGACACAGAAATATGAACTTTAATACTTTTATTCTTGCAGGAAAACCTAAATAGAATTTGAGTAATGTTTGAAATGAAAAAGCTAACAGTAAGGATTGTGTTCTTCTGTGTTTCAGTATTTTTTTAAGTAACAAAGTTGAATGCTGAATAATGTTGCAAAAGTCTGTTTGTCATGTACAGTAATTTCATTTTTAATGGAGATTTTTAGAGTGCATACTGATGAAATTTATGAAAGTAAATACAAATTTCCTTGTCATTACTACCTTTGATTTCAAGAATTATGTAAGTGTTGGGATATTCATCTTACTTGAAGTCTGAATGAATCTTTTCACTTGCCCTAGGTGTGCTTAGTATTAATATGTATTAGTCTTTGTAGAAATGTTTGTATTTACTGTCAGTAAAACTTTTTATTCTCACTGGAATTTTTTGCTTATCCAGCAACACTGCATCCTCAGCTGAGGACAGCCTTTGATGAAATGCTGGATACCTGATACCAACTTCACACAGGGATGCATGGAGAGGCATGCCACTGACAGGTCAGATCCCTGAGACAGCACCAAATGGGAATGTGACAGACATCCTCACAGACATGAGTGTAACTTGAAAACATGCCACGTGAGCCCGTGCAGGATATGTCCTGTGCCAAGTGCTGTTAGGTGGCAGGCATGCCAGCAGCCTCTCCTGCCCAGAGGCAGTGCCCGTGGAGAGGGTTGCCTGTGGACAGGGTCGCCTGTCCACCAGAGGCAGACAGCAGAGAAGGAGCTCCTCATCCCCACACTGGTTGTGATTGTTTGGTTATTTGGATTGGTTATTTCTTGGATGTTTGCCTAGGGGCATGGGAGATGAAGGCACCAACTGGTCCAGGTAGTTACTGGGGGGAAGGGCAGTTCTCTGGGTTACAGGGCCAACCAGTCCAGTTTGTGCTTAGATTTCTCCACTTTTCTCCTAATGCATCTGAGAGGTGGCAGTCAGAAGTACAACTGGAAGGTATTTTTAATGCGTAAGAAATAAACATGGGCGTAAACTTCACTACAAACTTGCAGTTGTCTCATTTTCACCAACTTTCTTGATGCTTACTGGGCAGTCAGTCTGTTTACTGAAAAGTGACTGAGAGGATTCTTTTCTTGCAGACTTCACCACACCTTCTGATGCCCACAGTACATAAGTCTTCAGTGAGCGTATGGAATTGAGGACTGCATCCCCTGGCTGGACATTACAGTGAGGAGAAGGGGCAGGCAGGCTTTGTAATGGGGCCAGCTGGGGTCAGGGTGTGGAAGAGGAGATCTGAGGGCAGAAAGCAGTTGAGCAGGATCATGGATTTCTTGGCAGGCAAAGGAGGCATTTTACATTTTTGTTTTTCCTGTAGTGTCTTCAGATTTTTTCTTGAAGAGGATGTCATCCAGTGTCTTATGCTCAGAAGTTGCTAAAATTACCAGTGAAGTGCCACACCACACCACTGAAAAATATTAGCTATTCCCAACATGTAACAACTTTCTTTCCACTGATCAACTAGAGAAGTTAAGAGTGGGTGCAGACCTCTGGGAAACCCATAGAGTTTTTAGGAGCTTACAAAATGAAAAGTGGAGAAAAAGAGGGGAGAAAGACAGTCCTAACATGCATTACTTGCAGCGAATGTAGCTAAAACCTCCAAGCAAAGATGCAGCTTATTCCTTATTCACAGTGAGATTTCTATGTCTAGGAAAAATTTGAGAAGGGCTGTAGCACAGCTGACATACAACCATCTCTTCCATGCCCCAGCTAAGAATATGTTGTGATTGGCATACATAATTTCTTGAAGTCATCTCTAACTTTTTTCTTTGTAATACTGAAATATTCTGTTTGCTTTTAAAAAACTGCAGTTTGAAAGGCTCTTGAATTAGGAGGGCATCTAAAAGAAAAGAAAAGTAGTGTGTTGTAAACGGGAAGATTGTTGACTAGCAGGTAACAGGCATCTACAGGAATGTTTTATTTTTATTACTTTTTGGTTTTTTTTTTTTCTGGTTGTGTCTTTTTTATTTTTGGTTTTGGTTTTTTTGTTTGTTTTGTTTTTTGTTTCTTTGTGACAAGACTCTTGGATCACAGAGAATTTAACCTTTAATTTATCTTTGTTGAACCTTCAGAAGTGGGCTGGACATTTGTGGCTGTATCCTGAGAACACATCCTCTGCTCAACTCACAGGTTTTATCAAAGGAATAATTGATTCAAATTTCAATTGTTCCCATGCATTTGCTACTTGGTGAACTCCAGCCTGCAAATCTGCTAGCATTCACTACAAAACTCTCTTGACTCATGCAAGTTAATGAAACTCAGCAGTGACATCCTACATAAAGTTCATTTTAGTAGTATAGGTGGCATATTCAAATGATTCCTGGGAAGTGAATGTAATGAGTGTATCAGTTGGTATCATTCATTTAAGCAAAGTTATGCTTTCCATAGCTCAGAAATGAGTGAATTTAAAGCACTGAACTCCCACCTCTTTTCCTTGGACTAGCATTGTGTGAGCTTCATCTTGACAGGCGTGAAGCAAGTCATTCAAACTTGATGTAGATTCTTTTTTATAACAGTCCACAAGTTAGGTAGAAATTCTAATGATTCTCTCTGCAGATTAGTTTAATGTGTGGGTTTAGAAGGAAAGCAATCCCCTCCTTGTGGTAGCTAGGGAGTGTGGCACTTTTTCTCACTTATTACAAAATAACTGATTATTTTTCCTGGATTCAAGGCAGTGTCAGGCAGAGCATCTCACTTTGATTTGAAAAAGGGACTGAAATAGAATTTAACTGGGGGAAAGTTTAAGTTTCTCATTAAATGTCTTAGATTTAGTGTGTATGTTTTACACATAGATATATGTGCATGTATACATATACAAGCATAAGCTGTGTGTGCATCACTTGAAGGGCCTTACTCAATACCCTGTCTTGATACTGGCAATGCTGAAGGGGTGGCTGCTGTGAAGTTTTCTGAATGGCTCTTGTCTCTTGGAGATCTCCCAGCATAATTTCAGGCTATAGTCACTGAGGCAGTAGAAGTTGTGAGTCTGAGTAAACTTGCTTTCACAAATTGCCGTATTAGTCCCACAGTGGGGAGACTGCTTTGAATTGTGGCAAAATTCAGCTTGGATGCTGCATAGGAAGAAGGCAGCTATGAGGCATTAGGCCTCATAGTTGCATCTCCTGAACACCACAGCAAGAAAGTACATTTGGCAAGGTGCTGTGCACAGTGGCTTGAATAACTTTCTCTCTCACTTACTGAGGGGTCTTACTGTGATTATTTCCCCACTAGTACAAACTACAGTTTGTGTATTGTGCTTATGTGGCAAGTTTTTGATAGTGGGAGAAATGTGTTGGTGGCCTCTGTGAGAAAAGCTGAGGAGTTGCCCCACTTCAGATAAGAGCCAGCTCCAAAAAGGACCTGCTGCTGGCCAGAGCTGAGCCAATGAGCGACTAGCATTGCCTCTGAAAGCAGATATAAAAAAGGGGAAAAACTGTTGCAAAACAGCAGCTGGAAGAGAGGAGTGAAACAACCCAGCAGCCGCCAAGGTCAGTGCAGAAGGAGTGGGGGAGCTCCAGCTGCTGAAGCCAAAGTTCTCAACAGTCCATGGACAGGACCACAGAGGAAAAGGCTGTCCCCCAGCAGCCCATGGAGGGTACTGTAGGGGAGCTGGTTGTCCCCCAGCAGCCCACGGAGGGCACCATGGGGGAGCAGGCTGTTCCTCCACAGCCCATGGAGTGGACTGTGGGGGAGCAGGCTGTTCCTATGCAGCCCGTGGAGGGTGCCGTGGGGGTGCAGGCTGTTCCTCCACAGCCCATGGAGGGAATTGTGGGGGTGCAGGCTGTTCCTCCACAGCCCATGGAGGGGACTGTGGGGGAGCACACTGTTCTTCTGCAGCCCATAGAGGAAACTGTGGGGGAGCAGACTGTTCCTCTGCAGTCCATGGAGGGGACTGTGGGAGAGCAGGCTGTTCTGCAGCTCAGGAAGGATGACAGCGGAGCAGATCTCCACACTGCAGCCCATGAAGGAGCCCACAGTGGAGCAGGTGAGTTGGTGGGAATTGCTGCTTATAGGGGAAAGAAGGGGGGGGGGGGGGGGGGGGGGGGGGGGGGGGGGGGGGGGGGGGGGCACACTGGAGCAGTCTTCTACTGAAGGTCTGTGCCACAAGTGCTATGTTGGAGCAGTTCTTGAAGAACTGTAGTGTGTGGAGGCACTCAAAGGATCAGGAAGGGTAGCATCTTGTGGCTGTGGGGACCTGATACTGGAGCAGGGGAGTAGTAAGGGTGAAGGATCAGCAGAGACAAAGCATTATGAACCAAATGCAGCCCCCATCCCCTGTGCAGTTGGGTGGCAGAAGGAAGGAGAGGATAGATGGGGGTAGGAGATGTTTTTAGTTTGCTTTTAATTCTACTGCTCTAGTCTGCTATTAGAAATAGGCAATAAATTACATTACTCTCCCTAAGCTGAGTCAGTTTTGCTCATGACAATAATTGATGAGCAATCTCCCAGTCCTTATCTCAACCATGTGCCCTTGTCCGTCATATATTCTGCCCTTTTGAAAGAGGAGGAATGAGAGGGCAGTGTGGTGCAGCTGAGCTAGCCTTTGATGCAAAATTACCACTGTCTGCTTTGTAGTAGAGACAGTATTTCAAGCAGAATTAAAGCCTCCCTTTTAATGGCATTAGGATCTGCTACCCACAAGGTGTTGTGTTGGTCTGATGTACAGGCTAAGCTTTGGGAGTGTGAAGGTAGTTCAACAGAGTTCTATCTGCTCACCGCAGTCGAGGCACTGTATATAGGTTCAAATTTTCTTTCTGTCCTCCAGCATCATTTTCTGTTAAACCAGTCACAACTATTCAGTGGTGCTGAGGTTATCTTTGGGACTCAGGCTCAGTTGGCCTTTCTTACACAGGAATGGAATTGGCTCACCTTCCCTCAGGGTTTTTCAGTGTAAGGAGAAGATTTCTTAGAAATGACGTAGTTCAAAAGCTTCACTGAATTATTAAAAACAACCCTTTTAACACAAATACAAAAAAAAAAAAATTAAAAATCTGTAGCTTAACATCATAAATTGCACTGTTGTGAAGCAGAGCCTCTAGCTGATGATCTCTGTGTCAACTTCCTGGCTCTGCTACTTCTGCTAGCCCCATCTGAGGCACTGCATTACCACTGCCATCTTCAGGGCTGCCTGTACATGACATCAACCATATAACAGGTGCAAGGCAGTCAGAACATCTGTAAACTCTTGACGGCTAAGAAATCATGTTTTATATCTTTCTATTCTGCTTTAGGTTTTTAACAAATAATTGACCTGAAGTAGGCGCAAAGACTATGTTTGAAAAGAAAAAGGGGGAGGAGGAGGTGGAAAGTAGCAAAAGATAGCATTGCTGTATCCACTACTAACTGTATTTGGTGGTCTGTTGCTCAGTTTACAGAACAGCTGAGTATGATCAAAAAAGTATATTCCAAGATATCTTTCTTCCTTAGTAATGTGTACTTGCTTGAAATGCCATTGTGACAACACAGAGAGCAGTGGGCTGCCAAGGCACCCTACAGGTTTGTATTTACCAGTGGAAGCAGTACTGTTGCAGTTGTGTTGCTGCTGCTGTCATGCATTACAGCTAGAGCAAAGCCAACTTCTAATTTGCCATTGTGTGTGTGATCACAGTTCTTGAAAATTACATCTGTACAAGAATAGCACATGCTGCTTTCCTTGTGTAATGCAAGGTCCATGATTATGGCTGACACACTGGAACAGGTTGCCCAAGGATGCCCAATCCCTGGAGGCAGTCAAGGCCAGGCTGGATGTTATTCTGGGCAGCCTGGTCTGGTGGCTGGCGACCCTGAACATAGCAGGGGGTTTGAAACAAGATGATTATTGTGGTCCTTTTCAACCCAGGCTGTTCTACAATTCTATGATTCTGTGACTGCAGTTAGATATAGGCTAAGATTTCATAACTACAGCATCCTGGCAATTCCTTTTGTTATCCACATGCATAGATGTCGCAAACAGGATTATAGGCATTTGTCATTCCATTGGCAGAATGGAACTGTTCTCATTATCTGCTGCCTACAGTTTTATCTTAGACTAATCAAGACTAATCATATTTTAATTTAACTATGCATCTAAGGCTATGGACAGGAAAACACAAAGGCTTATCTTTTTATTTTTAACACTTTGTGGGTTTTTTTGTGGGTTTTTTGTTGTTGGATTTTTTGTTGTTCATTTTTTTGTTGTTTGGTTCTTGGTTGTTTGTTTGTTTTTTGTTTGTTTGTTGTTTGTTTTTTGAGTTTGATTTTGAGCTTAAATTGATTCCAAATCTCAATAAAGTACAGCAAAAATACCTGTGCTTTGCAAAGGTCTAAATCAAATGGGAAGTTAGCTTAGCATGTTTTGCACAGTTTAAACCTGGTCTTTCTTAACATCACACCTTGAAACTTAAAATTGATAATAACTTCTTTGTTCTCTCTTCTTACAGCAATATGCAGAAACCACTGATCTTTTCCTCTCTACGTTTTGGTTTATCAGTTCTTTCTCTCTTTAGTGCATTATTTCCTAAACTTTCTTGATGTCTTTCAGATGACTTGGCTTCTCAAAATGTATGTTCTTGGTTTCAGTACATCAAGATCTCCAGCAAAAACAAAAGGTATTATGTATATTGAGAAGGTTTAATGGTGCTGCAGGTGTTAGGTGTAGTTATTTGTAGTTTTACTGTACCACAGTAGAGGAGTAAACTGTTCTGTGTTGTTGCACAGAGTTAGCCTCTGCTGGAAGGTATGTGGAAGGCTGTTGTAGCATGCTGTCTTTTTCTTTTTAACTGTGTTGCTGGTATTTGTTTCTTGAACAGCAGTGGTAAATGAATGCAGAATCTGAATGCATCCTTAGGAAGTTTGCTGATGGCGCGAATCTGAGTGGTGCTGCTGACTCTTTGGAGGGACGAGAGGTCTTGCAGGGAGATGTCGATACCTTGGAGCACTGGACAATCAGGAGTGGCATGAAGTTCAGCAAAGGAAAGTGTTGCATTCTGCATGTGGGACAGAACAGTGCTGAACACAGGCACAGATGGGGATGAGTGGCTTGAGAGCAGCTGGAGAGGTCACGTAGGAGTGCTTGTGGCATCAGCTCAGCACAAGCCAGAGCTGTATCTGGGCAGCCAAGGAGCAAACCGTATGTTGGGGTACATCAAACACAGCACAGCTGGCTGGTCAAAAGAGGTGATTCTCCTGCTGTTTCGCATTGACGCAGCCTCATGTTGTATATTATGTGCAGTTTTGGCCTCAACAATATAAAAAACTATCTAGGTCCTTGAAAACATGCAGAGGCAGGCAGTAAAGCTGGTGAAAGGGCAGAGGGAATCTTGTGAGGAATGCTGGGGTCATTGGGCTGCCAGGGTCTGGAGAAGAGGAGGTCAAGGGCTGACCTCGCTGCTTCCTGCAGCTCAATGCGAAGGGGGTGCTGGGCTCTGCTGCTGGGAGCTGATGGCAGAATGGAAATGGCACAGAGCAGTGCCAGGCTCAGATGGGATTTTAGGAAACGTTTACTGTGTGGGTGGTCAAACACTGAAATAGGCTTCCTAGAGAAGTGGTTGAAGCTCCATGGCTGTCAGTATTCAAGAAGTGTTTGGATAATTATCTCATTAATACACTTCAGCTTTTGGTTAGCCCTGAAGTAGTCAAGCAGTTGGATTCAGTGTTCTCTGTTAGGTCCCTTCCAACTGAATTATACGACTTCTAAATAAGTTGCTGGGGAGCTTTTGGTGTTTTGTTGCTATTGTTTGATTGATTTGATTTCAAGAATATTGCACTTGAATCTCTTAATTTGCAAATTCCAAAGTGATTTGCAGAAATAGGGGATATAAAATGATCAAAGCATGTATTTTTGTTTTTAAAATAAAATCCGTGTGTATATACTGGAATTTTACATAAAATATATTTTTAATATTTTAATCTGCCAGCCTGCCTGTTTTCCAGTGTTGCTGAGCCTTCTTTTAGAAACACTTCTTAATCACATTGCTAATTGTTTGTGCTTGCATACCTAATTACATAACTTCAGTCTTGTGTTAACTTAAGCGTTACCACCTTGTCATTTTGCTGTTCCTCATCCCCAAAGATTTTTTTTAACTGAGATATTTTAACATGGACTTTACTTTGGTTGGAGAATATTCTGTCAAAGATCATGCATATTTCTGCAGGGCTTTTTGTTTGTTTGTTTGTTTGTTTGTTTTCTGTTTTGCTTTGTTTTGTTTTGAGTAATAAGTTACAAAGATTTGGAAACAGTTTTGCCCACAAGTTGCATTTTCTGTAATTCTGTCTTTGGTAATTATGGAAGTTACTTGAAAACACTCTTCTTAGCTTTTTCAACCGTTCCTGTTGCCTGGTGCTTACTGGTGTCAGAAATTACCTTCCTAGCTGCTGGTTGCAATGTTAAAACTGAATAGGGGGTTGTGGAAAACCATAATAAACACAATGTATGCTTAAGGGGTTTGGTTTTCCTGATACTGAATTTGAACTTTTTTCAGTAAGTAGGATCAGTGCTTAATGTCAGTTTTCCCTTTGAGAACATGAAGTGATGGACTCCAAAAGCCAGTCCTGGGTTGGTAGAGGGGGTAAGAATCAGTAGTTGTGACAGGCTGGGTGCAGGAGCATTGCTTCACTTGGTCCCAGAGGAATGTGCTGCTGCTGCTGTCCTGTCTGTTGTGGAACAGTTTTTAACACAGTAATGCCAAAACTGTTATTCAGATTTCTATATTATTTGCTGTATTTTTAATAACACTTGAGTTTTCAGCATCTGAAAGTACATCTAAATGCAAAAAATTCAGTGATAGGTTTTCTTAATGAGACTCTTCTTTTTCATTCTAACCTGCTAGACCAAAATAACACCTATGGAAAGCATGAATCTATATTCAGTTCAAAGCCTGCCTGGGAGCACAAATGCAGTTTGCAGTGGGCTGTGACTGCTGAGTCAGGCTTTTAGTTTGGTACTAAGAGATGCCAAAAATTAGACTGCAGCGTCTGGTGCCATTTTTGTTATCCCAAGCCAAATAAATTAATGGCCTTTTAATTTATGTTTAATGATCTTTTATTATAACAATGCATTATTTATACTATATAATTAATTAGTAATTTAAATTGAAACTTTCGAGGGTTTTTTTATTTGTTTGTTTGTTTGTTTTCCAGGAGGATATGGTATATTCATGCAGCGTTCTGGTACTTTTTTAAAAATTATTTTTATTTTATTTTGTCTTTTCTTTTTTTCCTTTGGGAGCAGAACTGTGGAATTAATAAGCATATGAATGAAATCTCCTATTTTGAAGCAGTATTCTCTACTGGAAATGCCAGGGAAGCTTGGTGATGGGGAGAGTCTAGTGCTGTCGAGAATATACAGTTACCACAACTTGTAACTGTATTGAGACAGAGGAAATAACCAAACAATATGCTTACAAGAACTATGTCCATTTGCAGCACTAGTAGTTAAAAGTGTGTGCTTTTAGCTAACTTCAGAGATAACAAGATTCTACAAAACCACAGCAAAATATTTATCAATTGAAGGTTCTAGATCTAATTTGTGAAGGAGGAAGGAAGCTGTAGGTATGCGTTCAGTATAACAGTGTGGATCTCCATGTTCTGCTTTGAAAATGAAACCAAATTTACTGCCTTCTGGATTGGAGACCCAAACAGAGACAAAGGCCATGTAGCCTTTGGGATCTTCCAAGAGTGCCTCTTTTAAGAAATTCATGTAGCTTATGAATTGTAATGTGTGAACACTCAACTTCTGTAAGATACCGTTATACACTCTTACAGATTAGAAGCTGTTAACAGTTGTCTGGTTTGAAAGAAATGCAGATATGGAAACAAGGTAGTCGTAGATGCATCACATGCTGTAACAGTGTTTTTCGGGGGGGGGGAGGGAAGAAAAAAAAAAAAAAAGGAAGTTGAGTGCGTTATTCTTTTGAATAAAATTGAGGTAGATTTGAGTTCCCTTGTGCATTACATTTGGTTCAGTTGGAGACTTTTTACTTTAGTAAAGTAGCATCTAAGTGAATGAGAAAGCTTCTAAGTGAGTTGTCTCATTGTGTCTGCCCAGCAAGCATGTACAACCTAAAAGGTTTGATAGAAAACCTTAACACCATTTGCTGTTTTATGAAACTTGTAACCTTCAGGACAGTATTTACATGTAACCATGACATGAATTGTTTCCCAATAACTGTAAAAAGCTGACTAGTCTGCAAGTGGGGTGATTCAAGCCTAAAACGATGTGAATTGGCTTGAGGTCACGATGAGTAACATCCAGAGGCTACGTGCTGCATAGGCCACAGTGTGCTCTCGCTGGCTGGTGGGATGCTGCCTGTGTAGCATTTCCTCAAGCACGTCTATTCTGGCTGCTGTGGAGCAGAAAGAAACTAATTTTCCTGCTTTTCCCATTTCATAGATCCTACTTTAGAAGTTGGGGAAAAAAAAAAAAAAAAAGAAAAGAAAAAAAAACAGTGTAGTTTTAACACCGAGGCAGTGAGGACGATAAGGAATGAATGATTCTGTTCCCTCCCCAATTACAAAGTGATTTTGGAGGCTTTCTCTGACTGGTCATGCCTATTGGCAGGCTGCCTGATACCATAAATAAGCATCTTCTTTGATCAGTGCTGTTCATCCCATAAGCTGCAAAGATTTATGAAAAAAATGATGCATGGAATTCCTTATCTATCTTACAGAACTGGATTAGTCATATTTCAGAACTGTAACAGAAGGCCACCAAGAAACCCATGGAGAAAATTTCTACATATTTATTCTGTGAGGAATATAATGAAATAGTGTATCTGTTGGTTGTTTTGTTTTTGTTTTTGTTTTTTTTTTCTCCATGCATTTTATTTTATTTCTGTTTTGTTTCACCCAGTATGTGCAGGAAGAGAAAGTACAAAATCAAGAGTAGTGGTTACCCCAATCCTCTGCTTTCTGAGCAGGGAAAAGCACATACTTGAGAATCTGTGTTGATACAATTCAGCTTCAGGTTGTTTCTCTGCTTGAATAGAAGTCTCAGGACTGGGAAGAGTCTTTGCAGAAGAGTGCTGTACCGTGCAGAGAATGTGGCATAATGAAACTGATGAAAAACCTTAAACAGGCAGAAATTCCACTTCAGATAAAATGGATAAGAGCAATGCTTTTCTGCTTTAATGTTGGATTTTTCAATCCTCTTTTATTTTTAGTAGAGAGAAAGTGCTGTTTTGTGGCTAACCAGGGTGATGAACATTTTCTACAGTAAAGGATACAGGGCAAGACTACAGAAGCTTTACATGGAGCTGTGTACCTTCTCTCTCTGTGTGGTTATGGTACTATACTGCATATGTTTGCTTTGGATTGATGAACTAGCTCGAATTTTGTTCTGTTTAAATTTATGGAAAAAAATCTCTGTGAAGTTATTGCTGGCACACTGTGCAAAATGCATCTCTGATGCTTATTCCAGCATCAGCATTAAGTGCATGACTTGTCAGACTTAGCTGTTTGGCAACTAAACCTCTCTTCTGCGTGAAGGGAAAAGTAAAAAATAATAATAATTTAAAAAATCTGGCTGGTAGATTTGTCCTTATTTTTAGCATTGGGTTATCGTTTTAACAAGTTTTTTACCCACCTTCTTTTGCAGGTAGCATTGCTACTTCCTTTCAGTGCCAGTCAGTCCATCAAGATCACATTTGCAACGATGATGGCGACAAGGTGAGGCGTACATAAATCCCTCCTTCAAAAGATCCACGCTTGTCTTATGTATGTATTGCTTTTACTATATAAAGTCCTCGCTATGCGAGCATAGCGCTCATTCTTAAGAACTGCTTTGAATTGTCGTGTTAAAAATACGCTTGATTCGGGACGATCTTTTTAGTAAGTGAACAGACGGTACTCTTCTTTTTGCTTGGTATTCCGAGCACCGCTGCCATATGACGCTGCTCACTGATGAAGCAGTGCTGCTGCTAACTGCGAGGTGAGGCAGGATGTTACTGCAGCTGCTCTCGCTTCCTCGCTTTGAGAAGTTGGTGGACTTTTTGCAAGGTGGTTTGAGAAGTCGGTGGACTTTTTGCAAGGCTTTTGCTTTCCCGCTCTTTGCAAGGTGGCTGCCTTGATACTAAGCTGATTTTTTGGCGTTAAGCGCCTGGAGCAGGGCACGCGTTTGTCCACTTTTAAACGACGGTCTTTAGAAATCGGAATTCGGTCTGGATGTCAGAGCCTTCGTAAGAGCGAAAGCCCCTTGCGTTGCGAAATCAGAGTAAGGCTAACTCCGCAGCACCGCGGCTGACCGGGCAGGAGGCGCGGCTCGCGGGGCCGAGGGCTCGCGCCCGCCGTCCCGAGACCCGTCCCGCCCCAGCGCCGGGCCGCCCGCGGAGAAGGCTGGGAACGCGGCGGGCTGCAGACCAGGGCCGCAAGCCCCGCCCCGGCCCTCGGCGCCTGCTTCCGGCCGCGGCGGCGACGCGCTCGGGCCGGGCCGCCAGCCGCCGCCGGGCGCAAACAAAGGGCGTCGCGCGCCGCCGGGGGCGAGGCGGGGCCGGTTCCTCTCGGCCCGCCCTCGCCGGAGCGTGACGTCACCGGCGCCCGGAGGCGGCGCGGGGCCGCAGGGCCCGCAGGGGCGGAAGATGGCGGGCGGCGGCGGCGGCAGCGGGCCGCGGAGGGCGGCGGGCCGGGCGCAGGAGGGTCGCGGGCCGCAGCCGGAGCTCGCCCTGTGATGGGCGGAGGGCGCCGGGCCGCCATTCCCGGAAGCGACCGTGCGGGGAGGCGGCGCAGGCGCGGGCCCGGGCCGGGCGGCGGCGGCGGCGGCGGGACCTGCGGCCGACACGACAGGAGGCGGCGGCGGAGCCTCGCCGGGCACCGCGGGGCGCGCCGAGGAGGCGGGGGCGCGGCCCCGCGGGGCCCCGCGGCCGCAGGTACCGGCGGGAGGGGCGGTTGGCCGCGCTCGGGTCGTGGGCCGTGCCGGTGCGCCGGGCTCGGCGGGTGAGGGCCGGTTGGCCGCGGCCGCGCTTGGGTCGGGTCGGGGCGAAGCGACGGCGGCTCCTGTGTGCCTGCGGGACGCTGCGCTGTCACGAGCCGAGAAGGGGCGGCTGTCCGGGAAGAGACCGCCGCTCAGGTGTGTGGCGTGGGGCTCTGCCTTCGGGATCTTCAGTGCCTGCCGAGTCCTGTTTCCCGTTTGCGGACCGGGAAGGTGTTTGTCGCTTCCTTAAGAAGTGTGTTCTGAAACCAGTTGTGCGCTGAGGTATTTTCTGGAGGCATCGGCTTTCAACTGTGAGTCTTTGTAGTCACGTAGTTACTACTTACGCAGACGTTCATTGATGTGAAGCCACATGAAAGTGGCTGTGGGGGCAGACACTCTTCTCGGTGTGTTGTTTGACCATTTGGTGAGGCACCCACAGTGCTAAGACAGTCGTGGTCACCAGGAACCCACTTTGTCCTGGCGTTACTGCCTGACTCGCAGCATTGCTTACATGCTTGTTCCTAATCACCCATCTGCTAGAGCAACAGCTCTGCTTCCAGTTGCTAAATACATGGCATTTACCCTCATCTGAGGGACTTTGCTGTTTGCTGGCCTAGCAGATCCCATTGTTTCTTGAAATATATACACCTTTTCTTTTTTCTCTCTCTTGAGCAAGGTGTTGTAGCTGGGGCATTGGAGACTTGGTGTCCTGAAAAAGAAGAGGAAGCTCCATTTGGCTGGGCAGTTAGAGAGGACAGCGCGCAGTCAGAGAATTGAGTGTGAGACAGCAGTGTGGATGAGGTGCTATGCTCACCTTAACGAGAAGTTGGTGATGTTATCTTCCACAATCACCAAACCTATGGAAAAGAAAATATGCATGCATAGTGTTACATGTGAAGGTTTCCCTAAGCTTGTTACCAGCAAACAGAACATGCGAAGAACAGGAATTGCAAGAAAAGTAGTGTGTGTATTGGAGGGGTTCGTAAGTTAGGGATCTCAAGATTTTCTTACTTGAATCTTAGCAAAAGCCTATCTACATATATCTTTTTCAACATGATTTACTCTGACTATAGGAGATAATGTGATTTAAAGTGACATTGTTTCCAAAGTCAAATTACCCTTTTGCTCTTCAAAGGAAGTCTAAGAAATTATTTCAGTACTCAAGAATAGCACGATTTTTGCAGTTATGAAGACATATGAGTTCTTCAGGACTACTACTAAAAAGCGAGTTGAAACTTAAACTATAGTCTCATTGATTTTCAGAACAACCTGATGTGTTTGTGCTTGGTAACAGTGTGGGCTAAACTGCTCATGAACTGGATGGGAAATTGTACGGAGCATGTTTTAGATTCCTAAAGGTTTTGTCATTTAATCTCTCTGAAGAGGTCTTCCTCTTTCCCAGAAGAAATCTGAAGGGTAGGAATAAGAATATAGATGGAGTATGAAATTCATTTCTTCCTGTTTCAAGTTGAGAATTGCATTGACTGTTGAGGCACTGATACTTGAAACATCCGGTGAGGTGGAGGCTTGACTTGGAATTGATCTTCTTTTACTGAGCTCTTGTGAAAGATCATGAAAACTTCCTTTGCTTTTTGGTGCCCTCTACTGATTTCCATTTGTCAAAATGCCTATAGCCAAGTCTTTTTTCTTCAACAGCAATAAAATTCTAACAGCAGCTTTTTAAAAACAGTGTGAGAGAAGAAGGAAATCTCTGTTGCACCTTAATGATGCTTTTTGCTGATTGCTGTCCAACGAGTTTGCCTGGATTGCATTGGAACTATTCCTCACTTGTTAGAAAAATAGTTACACAGAACTGCCTCACCAAAGTTCTTCTGTTGGCTTTCCATCTGTAAAAGGGCTGGTGATGCTCACCTTCCCTTCTCAGGAAAATAAGAGGCTTTTCAGCATTTCTGTCCTAGGAGCTTTTTACCTCCTAGATCATTTGCAGTAGCACTGTCTTTTGCTTTATCACAACAACTTTGTAATTGAAAATAAATTAAAAAAAAAGAAAACCAACACAACTGTGCTTCACGTAGCACTGTGACAATTACTGTATTTTGTTTGCTGATTGTCTAATGAACCCTTTCATCTTGAGAGTCTTACTGTTTTATTCCTGTTCCTGAAATCTTCTGACATCTCTGGCGTAGGCAAACTTGACAGTAGCACAAACTCAGCTGTCTCCTCCCTCCATAGCCTCCTACTGTTAGCCTTCTGTCTGTCACCTCAGCTCTGTTCATTTTTGTAGGACTGTCCAGTTTTTTCTTTCATGTTGTGATAAGTATGAGCTGGGGTGAGAGCATTTATAGTGCACCTTCTGATATTGTTGAGCAGATGCTCTACCTGGCAGTCTTCATCAATGCTTTAGGAAATGGTCTTTCCAGAACAATGAAGAAAGATTGAGGTTTTCTTCCTAACTCAAGTTATTTCCTTTCAGTCCTGCTAAAAACTCTTCTGTTTCTAGGATTTGAAATACAAAATATTTCTTGCCTAAACCCAGAGAAAGAAGGCAAAAAGGAGTTTTCTTCTGAGCTTGTTTTTTTTCTTTTTCCTCTGCCTTTTGCCATAACCATAGAAATGGCTATTGTCATGCGTAGTTTCTTGGTCACTACTGAAATTTTCATTTCAAATTCTAGTTACATAATAACTTTCTCAACTTTTGACAGTCCTTTCTGAAGAGCAGAGCTGAGTTATGTACCATTTTAAAATATCTGAGGTGTGCCAAGGTTAAGTGGTAAATCATACACATGCTCACAAGGATACTTCTGTAGAGTAACTTTTGGACCTCTACTCTGAAGTATTATTTGATTTACTTTTTCCTGCTTTCACAGGAGAACACTACTGAAAGCCTAGTGCATAACATTCAGTGAAGATCATTTACCACTTTACTTTATGCCGCCTCAGAATCACAGAATGATGGAGGTTGGAAGGTGCCTTGCCTATGGAGGCTGTCTGGGCCAACCCCTTCAGAGCTACCCAGAGCGGGATGCTCAGGATCGTATCCAGGTGGACTGAATATCTCCAAGCAAGGGACTCCACAGCCTCTCTGGGTAACGTGTGCCAGTGCTCTGTCACCTGCACAGCAAAGGAGGACTTCCAGGTGTTCAGAGGAAACTTCCAGTGTGCTAGTTTATGTCCCTTGCTTTTTGTCCTGGCACTGGACACCACTGAAAAGAGCCTGACCCTGTCTTCTTTGCATTCTACCCTCATATGTTTGTACGTGTTGATGAGAGCTCCCTGAGCCTTCTCCTCTAGGCTGAACAGTCCTAGCTCTCTCAGCCTCTCCTTGTAGGAGGGATGCTCCTGTCCCTTCATCATCTAAGTGATGTTTCAGTGGACTCTCTGTTTTGTACTGGGGAGCTCAGAACTGGAAACAGGGTAACACGTACTCTCTTAAGACTTCTGAACCATAAGAGCTGCCCAGCTGGGCTTTCTTTCAGCCACCTGACTTGTTTGAGCCAGCTCTCAGGTTTGGGAAAGTCTGTACTTCTTTTCCAACTTTTCATTAGGTCAAATTCACATTACTGTAAACGTTCCTTTATCAGGAAATTGTTTTGTATGTATTCTGATAGCCACACATTCAAGTTGTCTGTAGGTCACGAACCTAAAACTGAATGTGGGCTAGAAAAAAAATTGTGACATTTAAAATAATTACTGGTAGGGAAACTTGTCACTGGAGCCTAAGCAGGACTTAAAAGTCTTCTTGTGATGCATCGTTTGGAACAGTTGTCTTGGATGTTTGGGGATCTAGGGTTTTAATTTCATGTCTGGAAGATGCCAAGTGTGGACATCACTATTCAAATGTTTATTTTGTCAATGCATGCCCACTTTACATCCACTTCACTGCTGTGTTCCCAATCAGCAAACATAATTTTTTTTTTAGTTCCTTCCTGTGGTGTTATGGTGCCTGATCCAGGTATTGTATTATTCATGAGAACAGGTAAGATGTTGATATGGAAGGTGGTGGGTTGAAGCAGAAGTTCTACATCCTGCTTAACACTGCAGAGGCTGAGCAAAAAGTGTTTTGTCATCTAGCTGTTCTGGCACACAGTTTTCAGCCACCCCCTTCACCTCTCCCTCCTAAAAAAAAAAAAAAAAAAAAAAAAAAAAAAAACAAACCAAAAATCCAACTCTGCTAACCAGCACAACCAGGCCACAAAAATTCATTGGGCAAACTTGGTTACGCTGACTCAAGATGCTTATTGATTTTGTGTTTGTTCTGCCGACTAATATTTCTCTAGAGAGCTTTTGCCTCTAAAAGTGCATCATCTCAGTATGACTCTGCTGGCAAATCTGTACGTAGACAGATCTGTTGTGATGCAGCCCTGTGTCCAACTGGATTTTTTACTTTGTCTTGGAAAAAGAACAGCAATTAGGCTTGGAAGTAATCTTATCTACTTGTAATCCTTTTTGTTTTGTTTTGTTTTGTTTTTGCAATTTGTAGAACATTATTCTTAAATTTATCGCATATACTTGTTTTTTTGTAGTACTTCCTTGCTAGAATTATTAAGGTCTAGAATATTGAGGGTATTTAGAGGAAATCTCAGTCTTTACGTATAAAGCCCACGAGCTTTTTGTTTGTTGCCTTAAAAGTTGATACGATCACTTTTTTCTCCCATTATTTTTTCACACACTTTTAATTTCAGATATTCTTGTTTAGGGCAAAGGGTGAGGAGGTGTTGGTTTGTCACTTTTTCATCAATAGTCTTTATCTCATTCTTCCTCAGCTGTAGTGCCTGACATCCGTGTGATTCCTCTGTGTACAATTAATGGAAGTTTGGTTTAAGTATGTGGAGGGAGAGAGTGTATTCTCCTGTGAGTGCATCTGGTCAAGGAGCATTTCAGTGTCAAGAGGGAATACTAAGAAAAGTGGAAATCTGTAAGAGGGCACTCTCCAGGATGCCAGACGTGGCCAATGAATGGGAAGGGAGATGGTAACCAAACTAAAGCTGGTCAATCAGTAATAGGGAAAAGTATGTGGGAATGCTTATTGCAGTGAGATTATGTGATCAAGTACTTTATCAAATGGAATGATAAGGAAGAGCAAGAAGCAACAAATGAAACTGTATACAGAGATTAAATCTGCAGCCAAACTTAAATAAGAGGGACTAGATAGGGTCTAAAACCAGCCCTGGTCAAACACACTGACTATGAAGAAACTGCAGGCAAATAAGGACTTTGCAGCTGATAGGGATGCAAACCCGAAGCCCAGGCTGGAGGGCCTGTGGAGCTGTACGCTGGGAAGGGAAATGGGGGTGAGCAGAGAGTGGATGGGCAGAAGAAGGGTACAAAGGAGTCAGTTGTGGGCATCCACAGTGGGTCAGTTTGTCTGTCTGTATGAGCCCTGCATGTGGGCACTGCAGCCTGTCCTGTCTTCTCATTACATCCTTTCTTAATGAGCCCTCTGCGTGAGCTCACCCTTATCTCATGTGTGTGCGTGTGTGCATGTGTTGCATGGACTGAATGCACATGGAGCCCAGCAGTCCTGTGTGGCTAGTGTCCAGAGTCCTGGTGTTTCTGCACCAGCCCCAGGGGTGACCTCTGGCCCTGGGGCATACCCAGTTCTACCATGAAGCCAGGAAGGTGAGTGGCCAAATAGTTTGTTGTGCATCACCTTCCCTGTGTGTGCATGGTATGAGTTTTTTTTTTGCCTTGGTAATTGTTCTGATTTAAATAACTTCATTTTGCTGCCCAGGTATCTATTTTAAATATATTTAAAAAGAGAAATTCTTGAGTTACAACTTTTTGAGTATATGGAATTCCAGTTACAAAAATGCATAAAATTGTTTAGAAAAGAATCTGTAGGCAAATATATTTTGCGAGACATTGTCCAAATTAAAACTGATCACTTAGAGATCACTTATTTGCAAACAGATTTTATGTATATATTTTAAGGTATAGTACTATTGCTTAGCCTCTGCAATAGTGAAGGCATCTTAGAAGCATACACAGGAAGTTGTGAATGTTTGTTCTTTCTATGAACATTAGTCTCATCTACCAGAGGCATCTGAAAGATTCAGAAGACAAGAAGTTTGATTTCTATTTTGGTGTTTGAAATCAGAAGTTTTGGTGTAGATTTTTAGACAGACTTGCAACTTGAAGATAGAAATATGAGAAGTTTCTATAAAACACTGTTTGGAAATGCAAGTGAGAGGAGCAGCCAATTCTGTTTTTCTGTTTAAGGACCAGGATTACCTCCTCCTTTTATTTACACAAATGAAAAACGTAGTTTAAGATGCTTTGCATCTTTGGGGAAAGAATTGTACTTTATTGGCCATAATTATCTCATATTAGTTCATTTCCTACAGTCCATATTGCTTGTCTTCTCATATACTTAGAAGTCCCACATTGCTATTTATGTAGTCCTCAGATTTGATATTAATGTAGTTGCCTGGAATACCCCTTTTTTTTTTTTTTTTTTTTTTTTTTGAGACTGCAGTTGCAGTGTTTTATCTGTGATGCTTGAGGTCGAAGGTAGAATGCAGCATGGCAGTTCTTGAGTTGCTTTTATTTTTCATATGTTCACACAGTGGGTTCTGGAGTGGAACACTTTTGGTCATTTGTTAATAGCATGGCAGATCATAATTCTGATGGAAGAGTGGGTTGAAGCTCAGGAAGAGACTTTTATTGCCTATGCTACTGGATTCTGGGACATCTGTGGGATTTTTTTACAAGAATGGCACTCTATTTAAATAGAGTCGATAGCATGGTTGCACAGTGGAAAAGAGATGTAGTTGTATTCAGAAGCAGCTGAGAGAACATTACTTGAAAGTGAATGGCTTTCATATCACTAACATTGAAAACTAGGTGTTATGTAGTTCTGGATGAGTTTTATTGAAGGACATAGACAGGTTGGTGATTTTTTTTTTTAGGGTTTTTTTTTTTTTAAGATCATGTGTCAGTACTCCCCAATGAAAATTTATACTAATAAGTAGAAAAATGTGCGCCTGTGTGCTAAGCTAGCAGAATTAAAATGGGCTGCAGGACAAAGCAAATATCTGATTAACCATGACAGTATGGCCTTCAGAAGAAAAGGGAGGCAACGCAGCACAAGCATGAAGGCTGTGCTTATATGTTTTCATGCTTCTGTAACCCATAAATGTAGGATCAGGGTGTACCTTATATTCCTCATATTATTCTCTTTCCTGATAATTTGGATTTGATAGACATTAGAATATTTGATGTATTCATGTTTCTGAAATATAATTTGGTTATTCTTCAGGAATTAGGGAGCTATCACAAATTTGTGTTGGAAGAGTAATAAATAGATGACTACTTGCAGTTGATTAACTTGAAGGTGTTTCAGTGCTGTCTGCAGTAAATGCTTCCTTCTAATGCTAGCTGCAAAGTAATCTTGAAACATAGTTGTAATTCGCTCATCTGGAGATGCTTTGTTTGTTTCTCACTGGCACAGAGCGAAGACGGTCCCAGCCCCAAGCGACAGCGCCTTTCCCATTCAGTCTTTGACTATACGACGGCATCACCAGCCTCGTCACCGCCAATGCGACCATGGGATATGACATCAAATAGGCAGCCTTCTTTGGCTCGGCCCAACCAACACCACTTCTCAGGGGAACGATGCAACACACCTGCACGAAACAGAAGGAGGTAAACAGGCTGTATAGACAGATAAACGCTTTTGATTCTTCATTTCATCTCAAGAGGAGTGTTTACACTAGATGCTGTATTTAATATAATCAGTATCTCTGACTAGATCACATGGTAAATATTTTGATGTTTCCTTTGAGCTATGAATTGTTCTGAGCTGTAGTTGTATGCTACTGGCTCATGTTGAGAATTTTGTCCACCAATATCCAGCAACACCTGAGCATTCTCTGCAGACCTGCCCTCAGTCTGCTCATCATCCAGACTCTGTTCATGTTTTGGATTGCCCCAAGCTTGGGCCTGCTGTGCATTTAAAAAAAATTTCTTGAAACTTCATTTTCATTTGGTTTTGGTTACTGAGAAGGGCTTGTGGCATTTATATAATCTCTAATCTTTTTAATGTGTTTCCAGTCCTCCCGTTCGACGTCAGAGAACTAGGAGAGATCGTCTGTCTCGACATAATTCCATTAATCTGGATGAAAACTATCACCATCTCTCCTATGGACAGCAGCAAGCAATAGAAGAGCCCCGAGCTTTTCGCCCACCGAATGTATCTCCTCGTATGTTACGCCCAGCTGTTCACCCACCACAGCAGAATGCAGTGATGGTTGACATTCATGACCAGGTAAGAGGATTGGAGCACAAACTGGGGGATGTTGAAGATGTTGGGTTTTTTTTCCCCCCTAAATGTTCAAGATACCTCTCATTTCCAGATTAGTTGGCAGTGGAAGTCACACAGCACTAAATACTTTTTTACAGAGGGAGCTGTTTTTGGTTTATGAAGCACTAGGGTAGGCAGTGGGGGGAAAAATGTCCGGTCCTACTAAAGAAGATTGAAAGTTAACAACTTTTCTATGCACATATTTCCATAGTGCTGTATGCTTCTGGCCCAGGTATTTCAAATACAGTTCTTTTGCTTCTGAGGTTAATTTAACTTCTTTAAGATGCAATACTTTCACATGAAGTACCTCTTCTTAGCATTGGTATCTACAAATTATCGAAATATATTGTTCAGAAGTAGAATTCATAATGTCAGTAATTGGTTGCTTACAAAACAGCAGAAATCATGATAGTGTTGTTGCATAACCAGATAAGCCATCCAAACCTAATCAACTCCTCCTTAAAGCATATGGGGAAAAAAAAAAAAGAGAAACAGAGATCTGCAGTTGGTCCAGAAAGCAAATAATTTCTGAGCAGGAGACTGGAATAGACACAGAATTTATAACTGAAGACCTGTAAAAGAAGTTGTTGTCTTCTGTTGTTCAAATCAGTAGATGTGCTTTGGGTTCTACGTAATCCTGAACTGCTTGTCTGGATGCACACTTCTCCAACTGCACGTACATAAAATGCAACTTTTAACAATCCTGCTTAAAAACATACTTGCATTCCATGCAGCAGCATACAGCTCATGAATTGTATTATGTATGCAGAGCCACAGAGGCCAAGTGCAGGGGTGGTAGCTAACCACCGTGCTAGCCATCTCACCATCTTACATTCTGGTGAACAACTTTACTGCTGCAGTATCTTAAAAAATCAAAACATGCTCTTGCTTTGTGTTGCAAGATTACATCATGACAAGTCTGGATAAGCAGTTGTTCCATTTGACTGCCTGTACCTTCCAAGCAACATCTGTGATCAGACTCACTGAGGTCCTCCATGGTGATATTTTATACTTCAGAGACAGAACCATTTTAAGAGGTTATTTTTTATTCTTATTTTGAGCATTTCCAAATTACAGCCAGCATTACACTGTTTGCCTAACTTTTCTACCAGAACTAGAACCATGTTAGCCTCTCTCCCGAGAGGGGTTTCTGTCTACCATGATGCACAGGTGTAGCCTTTAAGTTCCATTCAGTGATCAATGTTCCTGTTTTGACCTCTGTCACTGACTACACAATACCCGCTCAGTAAATCAGCAGTCTTCAGTTTAGTTATTCTCACCTCTTAATGAGCTGTTTGGATGGTTTCCACTTTAGCAGAACAAGAATGAAGATTGAGCTTCCCTGATTTACTGTTTGTAAATCCATGCTTCCTGACAATAAGGCTTTTCAATTTTACCAGAGAATGAATCCTTATTCAGTATTTAAAAAAAAAAAACAACAGACTTCAAAGTTATATCCTTTTAAACTGAGAGATCCCTCTTTGCCCTGCCCAGGAAATACTCATCAGTAAGTAGTAAGTAGTACAGCAAGAAGAATACGTGAAAGAACAAGAATTATAGGCATGTGCCTCTTTTTTAAGCATTGGTTATGAATGCTTTTTCCAATATATAGGTAAAAGCTTGTTGATCTACTCAGCATGCTGTACAATGCTGTTAAGAGTTGACAGTAAGTTCTTACTACTAATTTTCCTTTTGCTGCAGATCCATCAGGGTACAGTTCCTGTCTCCTACACAGTGACAACAATGGCTCCACATGGGATACCACTTTGCACAGGCCAGCACATCCCAGCTTGCAGCACCCAGCAGGTCCCGGGGTGTTCAGTGGTTTTCAGTGGGCAGCACCTTCCAGTTTGCAGTGTGCCTCCTCCAGTAAGTGAGCTTCTATAGTTAATCCAGCTTCAATTTTAGACAGAGGAATGGCAGGTACCATGAAGCTTCACTTTTATGTGCTTTAATTGCACTGAAAAATACCCTTCTTTTTTTCTTCCCCTGAGGTGAATTGCAGTGGCATGTTAATATGGACCTTAGAACTGGTGAGCATATGTATGTTGCTTATCTAATATCTTTATAGTGTGTGACTGTTTATAGTGTGAAATCCTGATGGCTTTTAATTCAAACTGCAGTCTGGTTTATGATTTAATGTCACCACATGAGCTTTTTGCTTACTTTCTTATATTTAGAAGAATGATTCTATGGTTTTTACTACTCAGCTTACCAACAAAATATTACAGATAGCTTGTTTATGGATTGGTTATACACAAAGAAGGTCTGATAGTCTGAAAAGAATAAAAAGATCAGTAAAAGCTGAGAGGCTGAGCCAGAAATACTCTAACAAAATTAAAGTATTCTTTAATAATGATGTCTTAGCCTTTCTGGGAGTGAAATAAAGTGCCTTGATGGGACTCGCTTTTGTCTCCTTTAAAATTGAAAGAATGTCATCTGTTTTCTTAGAAATGTTCATGTATCAACTCAGAGAGGCATGATTCCAGAGATTCTAGTTTATAGCATTTCCATGATATCCTATTCTGTAGAAAGTTCCCCACTAAGTCCAAACAGGTACTAGCAATGAAGAAGTAAAGGAGATACCCGCAAGAAGTTTCAACTGTACAAAGTAAAGTTACGGAATGTGCTGAAAGAATTGCAGGTTTTGTTTGTTTTACCATTTTCCAGTATAAATCTGTAATATCATACATACCAACTTCATGTACTTGGTATGTACATTTATAATGTTGATGTATACATCGGACTCTGCCAGCTGTGCATTTGCCAGTAGTATGTCACCTATACTTTCCTCTACTACATGTTCTGTGACCAGAGGACATAAACAAGACTGTGGCACTGAAACAAAACCTTTGTTGTGATCACCTGTTTCTTTGTTTAAGCTGCCTTATTAAGTTGAAGATTAAGGGTAATGTGCGTTTAGGTTGTCCAGAAGCCATTTATCCTCCTGAGAGACAGCAAGGCCTCAGACATACTGCTTGCCAGTCTGAAATATGTGTACATTATTTCCCTTTACCTTTCAAACTAATGAAAATCTGTTACATGAGTCTCTGTTCCCAAGATAAAGGGGACTTTTTCCTTCTATCTGTAGTGTGTTTAGTGTAGAGGAAAGCTATCTCAGAGTGAGTATCAACAATTGAAACAATAGCTGGATATCAAAATCAGCAAAGCAAGAAAGCAACATGGCCTAGAGTAGAAATTATGTAACATCAGCAGATAGACTTTACTCTTTTTTCTATTAAGTCATAAAATTGGGAAATAATGTAAGTTAGGAAGGGACTATGGAGGTCATGTGGTGGTCACCTGTTTCCAAGAATGGAGATTTCACAGCTGTTCAGAGCCTCTGCTCCTGTGTTTGACTGTCCTTACTGTCCTTAGAGTGAAGATCTTCTGTTTATCTGATGGATATTTCTTTCATTGCAAAGTTTCTTTTGTTCTGTTGCTTCTTGTGAATTTACTGTGCCTTTTGAGGAAGAGTCAGGTTCTTTCTACTCATTCATGAAGTTGTGGAAGGTAGTGGTAGAGTCATTACTTAGTTTTTCAAGACAGAAAAAAATCCAGTTCTGCAGCTTCTTCTGTACAGAGTGACTCAAGGTCCTTACCATTAGTAGACTCATTTCATTATGTCATTGGGAAAGCCGAAATCGGGCACAGGTCTTAAAATGCAGTAGGCGTCAAACAGGGACAGAATCTCCTATCTTGGCCTGCTATCTATGTTTTTAGTAATGCAGCCCAGTATGCAGTAAGTTGTCTTGACTGCAAGAATATGCTACTGTCCTTGTTGTACTCCTGTTCGACTTGCCCACTAGGATCAGATTTTTTTTCCCTGTATGTCCACTCCAAAGTCAGTCACAAAATCTTATTCCATCAGATTCTTTCGTTCCAGTTCCAGATTTCACATTTTGCCTTGACACTGTTCTTGTCAACCAGTTTCTCTATCCTATAGAAGTACATCTTGAAAGGCAGCCCTTGCATGTTGCCTTACTCCCCAACTTCACTTGTGAACTCCCCAGTATCATTTTGTCACTTCAACAAAATTTGCCTCATTTATTGTATATGTAACTATAAAATAATCTTACGTCATTTATGAAATACAGTCATTGATTCTAAAACCTATAGAATCATATGTTCAAACAACAGAGGTTTTCCAGAGACTTGAATGAATAAACAGTAGGTTTCATTTATTCCCTCTTAAAAGATCTTGCAATCTTATTGGCTCTGACTTAGCGCAGATTGTTCCTAGCATATTAACTGCAAGTAGCTACAATATCTTCATTGTATGAAATCTTGGAGTCAAACGTATTTTAAGCTGTTCCCCAAACGAACTTCCTGTTTTATAGAGGTGTGGTGTTGCACCTGTAAATTTAGCTTCAGCTACCTCAGAGAACAGTTTTGAGTTTAGTAAAATACAATAACAATTGTATTTTAATACCAAAACACTTTTTATAATAACAAGCTAGTAACTGGATGAAGGGTGGTCAGCATCTAAAAATGTCAAATTAATCTGTTACTGTTTCAGTGCATAAAGATTTGCATTTGGTGGTGATTACAGTAAATGGGGCAATGATTCTACCTTCACTAATATAAACTAATCTTAAACTAGACCTCATTCGCACTCTGCTGTTGTAGTCAGCATGCACTGTATGTGTTGTGTAACAGAAGACAAAAATGATGAGAGAGCAGAACTGATTGTTCTACATTACTTTGTACAATTTGATAGGCTTGCAGGTAGGGTGGTGGAATTTTACATAAAAAACTATCTTAATAAACATCTTTCTTCATTTAAAACAAAGATACTGTTGTTTTCAGCTAATAAGTGTGTTATGAATTGCTCTTTTAATGAGCAAAAATTTAGCACAGATGTCTGGCATTCACATGACAGATCAAAGAACAGGAAAAAGAACGAAGGTTTTCACTTTCCTCCATATCTAGAATTGGAAATAAAACTGAGCTCTTCCAGGAAGCACATTTCTTCTCACCTGCAGTGCATTCATCGCTTCTGTGTTGTATAAGTAGTCCCAAAGATTAGAGAGAGAAAGCTGTTTCTGCAGTAAGTATATCTCGGCCTCCTTTGAAGCATAAAACTACCGTTGAAGTGGAGAACGGAGTTAAGAAAGATGTTTTAAGGCACAGTCTGATGGCTGGCAGTCCCTTAACTACATTTACATCTTTAAATGCTTGGAACACTTGTTTTGGTATGTTATTTTGAAGGTAAAACATGCAAAGAAGTTAGAATGGTACGTTTACCTACTCTTTACTTAGCAGTCCATCTAATAGCGAGTATTGAAAATCCCAGCTCCCATTGACTTCAAGAAGTGAAAGCTGCTTTATAGCTAGGAGATATCACACTATGGTATGAGTCTGTGATACACTAGCCATTGTGTATTTCAGTTAATATTTTTGTGTATTTAGGAGGTTTTTCCAAGGAGTCAAGAGAAATACTTTCTCTTAATGATATCTTTCCATGATAAACGTGGACTGTTCTGTAGGAACTTTGTGCTAGAGACTAAAAAGTGTTTTCATTTTATTTCAGATGCTTCAAGCATGCTCAGTTCAACACCTACCAGTACCATATGCAGCATTTCCACCCCTTATTTCTAGCGACCCGTTCCTTTTGCATCCTCCTCATCTGTCTCCACACCATCCTCCTCACTTGCCTCCTCCAGGACAGTTTGTTCCTTTCCAAGCACAGCAGTCACGTTCGGTAAGTAATGCTTCTTACCCTCTCTCCTTAGAATTGGTGTGGCTGGAGGTGCAAGTGGTACTGATAACTAATTCAGGAAACTGATTTTATTTAAAGTAAGAGGATTTTGTGCTGTTGCTGCTTTAGCAAGTCCTTTAACTACTTAGTGTGAAGATGAAAAAATAATTTTAAAAGTCACTACTTCTTTTTGAATTTCATCAGCTGTTATCAATGCTGTTTCTTCCTAAGCCTTGACTTTTTGTCAAAAGGATGTATATCCTTACCACTTTCTTCAGATTTTTCTTTTTTATGAAGCCATAGGGAAGTTAATCTCGTTATATGCTTCCTCTATATTACTTCTCAGTTAATTTTTAAATGGACAGTGTTTTCACTAAAACATGATGACCTTAAAGCTTCCAAACATACTCAAGAGTCTATAATCGCTCCCTTTCTTCTCTTTATTACTTGCAAAAGTTATTGGCGCTTTTTGCTCAGGCAGATTTGTCTTAGCGATGGGGACTGTGCAAATACAGGGAAATGTGACTCTGAATCTGAGGAGCGAAATTTTCTTTTCTGGCATACAGTTCTTTCTGTAGGGTTATCTCTAGCCCATATGGGTTATCTCCCATTCATTTGTTTGCCCCTGTTACCAGAAGATGCCAATATGTTACTAACGCAAAAATGGAAAACAGTTTTGTTGTTACTTATGAAGATTTCTAAAGCCCTGCACTGCCATATCTCAGGTATGGCTAACTGATGCAATTGCTTTGTTAAGGTGATGGGAGAACATCTGGAAAAATGCAGTTTTCAGTGGTAATCTTTGTAAGACGTTATTTCAGAAAATGTGTGAACTTTGATTTTTAGCTTCAGTTGCTTACTTAGGCTATTGACTGGATTTGACTTTCAGCTCTGGCAAATAGCCAGTGTTTTAGTGCTTTGAGAATACGTTGACTTAAAAGTTTGTAGTGCATGAAAGGGAAACAGTTTTGCTTTGCTGTCAGAACATGGATTTCTTTGCTGAGTTTCCTTACATAAGGAATCTAGCATTAGAAGCCGAAAGATGCATTAATGAAACAGTGACTGCTCTTGAATGTTTCCTGGGAACTGTTGAGCCTGATATCAGACAATTTTAGGGGTTGGATGGGATCTCTGGAGATCATTTAGTCCAACCCCATGTTAAAGCATGTTCCCTAGAGTAGGTTGAGCAGGAAAGCAGCCAGGTGAATATTGAATTTCATTTCCAGAGAGGGAGACTCCACTGCCTCTGTGGGTGGTACGTCACCCTCAAATCATAGAATCATAAAGACTAGAAAAGATCATTAAGATGATCTAGTCCAACCACCAACCTATCACCACCATGCTTGCTAAACCACATCCCTCAGTGCTACATCCATACAGTTCTTCAACACCTCCAAAGATGATGACTCCACCACCTCCCTGAGCAGCCTGTTTCAATGTCTCACCACTTCACTGTGAAGAAATTTTTCCTAATATCCAACCTGAACTTACCCTGTTGCAACTTAAGGCTGTTACCTTTCATCCTATTGTAAGTCACCTAAGATAACAGGCCAACCCGCCTTGCTACAGCATCCTTTCAGGAAATTGTTGAGAGTGATAAGGTCTCCCCTGCCTGCTCATGGCCAGCTTGTTGTCCGCCAGGACACTCAAGTCCTTCTCTGCACAGTTGTGGATGTACTACAATTGATTAGATTACAGTATTGAGCTGAGATCTCATGGATTGTCTGATCTTGATAGGATTGCTTGCACTATCCTCCTAGGAAAGCACTCGCTTGATTACTGTATCATTCACAGTTTAATACCACTGGAGTCACTGTTCACTCTCCTCTTTTCAGACTGTCTAAACCAATTTCAGTTCTTGTCTTTGGTTTGTTTTTTTTTCCCTCTTTCATAGTTGTTAAATGAAAGCAGCCTGGCAAGAAGGAGAGCAAATATTTGTCCTACAAAATGCAATAGACAGGAAATTACAGCTATTCCAATATTTGCTAGATGACATAAATTCCTGATCATTTAGCATGACTAGCTGGAAAAATTGAATTAATACCGAAAGTGTAGTGTTGTCTTCACTTTTTGGTAATGTTAATGATGTAGGAGTTGTTCATACTGTTATTCTGTGAATGTGAGTATTATTTTACTCTTTTTTATCCTGTAGAATTGACTACAGCAGCTCAGAGTATACATCTGAGATTGCAGTTTTTTAGTGGGAAAATATTTTATCTCATTATTGCAGAAAACATATATGTTTGGGGTTTTTTTTTAGCCATTTCAAAGGATAGAAAATGAAGTCGAACTACTTGGAGAACATCTTCCTGTAGGAGGTTTTACGTATCCTCCCTCAGCTCATCCACCAACGTTGCCTCCCTCAGCCCCTCTCCAGTTCTTAACTCATGATCCTTTACACCAGGAAGTGTCATTTGGCGTTGTAAGTATTGTTTTACATGCTATACTCTCAGTCATGCTGTTGGCTGTCTTGCGTTCAAATGTGTAGTATATTTTGTCAAAAACTTGCACTTATTGCAGTTGTAGTCCATTAATGACTATGTACTGCAGTATTTTAAGCCCATTTTGCTCAAATTACTATAGCCTGCTTTTATCAGTAGACTGTTGATATCAGTATATGATTTCTGATAACATTATCTAGAGACAGTGATAGTAGTTACTTCGAAAACATTTCCATGTTGACAAGACTGCTACTATAGAAACTAGTTAGCATTTAGAAAAGCTGTTGCCACGTGCACTGTTGCTGGTTTGTCCTCCATGCTTCAAGTTTCTACCAGTCAGAAAAACCAGAATTTTTAAAAACAGTGTTTTTTTTTTTCCTGGAATGTTTGCAATACACAGGCAGTGGCATAGATCGATTTCATACTACAGGCTATATTATATTACAGAAGTAGAGTGTTTTTAAGCCAGCTTTCTGTATGACTGTAGGCAGTTCAATTCAAGATCATGAAACAATTAAACATGGTGCAAGATTAAATCTGTGTTGAAATTTGTGCTTCCAGTATTTCTACTATCTCTAGGGTCTTTGTGGTGCACTTTGGTCTGTTGGATTTGATTTTTTTGTTGTTGTTGTCGAAAAATCTTTCCCCTGTGTGTAATGCTTAAAGAAATAACTGTAACTCAGTATTTTTTTTTTTTTAATATTTGACCTGTGCATCATGTTATTGGAAAGTTTTAGAGGCATGGTGGTGCATCAGCCTTTAAATGAAAATGAAATTTTAGGACCTGCAACATCGGAACACAGAGCTAGCTGTTCTTTATTAGTCACCTTGAAATCATGCACCATAGTTAATGTGAATGGTCTTCCCATGAAATTTTCAGTCACTATGATATGCTTTCAGATACACTTAAACTTTTATAAGTTGCTTGAATTTTATTCACAAACATCTTTGAAGTTTTTCTAATTTCTAAGTTCAGTCCTTAAAAATAGATAGCAAATAAATAGCACATTTATGCTGGTTACATGTTATTTTTCCTCTGTGGTGCCTTAACTCTGGGTTGTATACTGCTGAGGGGTGGAATAGGGGTGTAATCTTGATGTCTTGTAAAGCAATCCTAACTATTTTTAAAATTTTTCCAGTGATTCAAAATGATTTTAAGAAAAGCTTGATATTCTTTAAATTACCACTAATGTTCTATTTATATTAAAATTATAATGGAATGGCTACATCTCTGATTTTCTTTCGGTCAGTTAACTGAAATCTGAGCACAGCACTTTCTAATGGTATTTCTGGATCACAGAATTCTCTAAGCTGTAAAGCTAGTGTTTACTCTGTCTTGCGTGAGGTCTTTTCTTTCAAGAAAAAGACCCAATTCTTCCACATTGTGTTCATGTTAATATGTAAATCTAATGTAAAACTGTGGCTATCTATCAGGTATATTTATCTTGTGAAATTAAGGGTCTTTAGATTAGTTATTGGTGGTGTTGGACTTTTCTGTGTTCAAACATGGAAGAATAAATGCTCCTTAATAAAGATTTTGAGTGTTCTTTGTTCCAAAGAAGTAAATGCCTCAAGGCTTTCAAATATTAATGCAATAATGGTTCATCAATTTCAGCTTTAAAAATTAATAGACACTTCTTGTACCTTGACTATTTCTGGGAGGAAAAAAAAGTTGTTATTAAATGGAAAGTTTCTACCATTTATGTCCCTGTTCTTTTAGGTAAAACAAAGAATTACAAAAAATACGGAAAACTTAAACATTCAAGTGAAGGGCTTGACATGCAAATGAAAAAGAATTAAAGCCCTGTTTTATCCCTGTAAATTGAGAGCCTCTTTAAGCATTGTCCGTTTGCAAAAATCATACAAACTTGCTGTACAGATAGCATAGCTTTATTTTCAGTGTAATTGTACGCTGCTGCTTCTTTAATTCCTGATCAGAGATTCTGCTGTAGTGCATAGTGGTGGTGCCCCCTACTAGGTAGTAATCTTACACCAATGAAAGAATTTGTGAAGAGAACAGCTACAGACCTTTAAGGGGGGGTTGTTGTTATTGTTTTTTGTTTGTAATTTTAAAGATTTTTCTTTTGTTTTGTGCACAAGCCTGCATAATAGCACTGAGCCTAAAAGCTGGACTGTTATATTTACAAAAGAGTCAGTAGTTCAGACCTGCTTTCCAAAACTTCATGTACATGTGAACTACACAGAAAATGTCTTGCAAGGGTTTCTGCTGGGTGTTGTTACTTTTTCATGTGGAATGGTGTGATTCCATAACTGATAGGAATTTTTGTTTCAAATTGTTAGGAGAGGCTGAGGATATTTGGACATAATCAGTGTCCGAAGTGGCTGGATTTTTTGAATGACACCGCATTGAAAGTGGGCTTTGATATTCAGATTTCAGTTTGATTAGGAAAACCAAATATTGTATCACAGGATAACAAAGTGGTTGATGTTGGAAAAGGGCCCCTGGAGGTCCTCTGGTCAAATCCCCTGTCCTCAAGCAAGGACACCTAGAGTTTTTTGTCCAGCACCATGTCCAGGTTGCTTTTGAAGATCTCCAGGGAGGAGACTCTACAAACCTTTCTGGGCAACCCTGTTCCAGTGCTCTGTCACCTGCACAGTGAAGAAGTGCTTCTAGATGTGCTCCTGTGTTCCAGATTGTGCCCGTTGCCTCTTGTACTGGCACCGGGCACCACTGAAAAAGAGCCTGGCTCCAACCTCTTTGCACCCTCCCTTCAGGTATTTGTACCTATTGATGAAATCCCCTCTGAGTCCTCTCTTCTCCAGTCTGAACAGCTCTCTCAACCTCTCCTCATGGAAGAGGTACTGCAGTCCATTATCTCAGTGACCCTGTGCTGTAATCTCTCAGTATCTCCCTTTCTCTGTTTTGTACCTGGAAGCCCAGAGCTGGGCACGAGTACCAGTTCTAAAGGTTTCAGAGGAAGCTTATTTTCTTCTCTCTTGCAGCCTTACCCACCGTTTATGCCTCGAAGACTCACAGGGCGCAGCAGATACCGATCACAGCAGCCAATACCTCCACACCCTTACCATCCTAGTCTACTACCATATGTGCTGTAAGTTCAAAGTGTATTTGCTTCCATCCATTGTAGGTTATTATAAAGTAATATGAGTTAACCAGTCCTCTCAACAGAGACCTGCAGTTCTTATGGTTGGACCCTAACAGAGAGTAGACAGTTCTGCTACACCAGAAAGGAGAAAAACTTCCGTATCTACATAAAATTTCCAATCTGCTGTGGATAACATATGCACTTGTACAAGGGAAAATACAAATACAGTTTTGTCAAATGTAGTTTTGTGCCTGCAGTGTGTCTTTTTCCTGAACTGTGTGCATAAAGATGTTTGACATGAGTAAATTCAAAACTTTGTGGATACTTCTATGGATTTAATGATTAAGCTGTAGTGTAAAGTTCTTAGAGTCTTTAATCAAAATAGTTTGGTTTTGTTCTTAACAGAATCATTATGTTTTATCCACTTAAAGAAATAAAATGTTTAAATCCAGAGCCAAATCCAATTCATCATCATTATTAACTTTCCATAATGTGTGATAATCAAGAGATTCATTTTCGTAACAGTTCTAAGTTGTATTCTAAGTATTGCTTAAGATATGCATGCAGTTTAAAAGCAGCACTGCCAGGATCAGGAAGTGGCAGAACTAGCTTCTCTCTTAATTCTTTCACTTCAAGAATCAGTTCTTGATTTCAAACATAAGATTTCCATCTGTTCTGAGAACACATAATTTTGAAAGGGATCAGTAAGATAACTTTGGCAATGCTACAGGTTTCTGATGTTTCCTTCAGCAAGATGCTGAACCTTATACTTTGTTTGCTCTCGTGGTAGATCAATGTTCCCAGTTCCACCTGCAGTTGGACGGGCTTTCAGCATTGAGCTGGATGTGGAAGATGGAGAGGTAGAAAACTATGAGGTTGGTATGAAAATATGTTTAAAGAATGGAACTAGCTTAAGCAGTACACAGAATTGAATTATAAATTATGTTTTCAGTCTTGTTTCTCATTTTCAAGTAAGTGTAATAACTGCAAAGACAAAATCCAGAAAGCATCCTCTTGTATTTGTTTGTGGTAATGGATATTTGAAGTGCTTTACTTTTTGTCTATTTCTCTTTCCCAGAGTAGTAATCATTAACTTGTTCAGTCTTTGTGTTCTTCATATTACTCTTCCTCTTTTGAATTGTAATTGATTTTAAATGTCAAGCAGAAATAAAGCACATTCAAAAGAGAAGTTAACTTAAGTAATTACAGAATAGTGTTAATATCACAGGCTTAATTGATTTAAGTGTAACAGTAATAAAACTGTTTTAGTGCCTTTTCTTCTTTACCCTCAGAAGGATAATTTATTTCACATCTACAGATGCAGAACCCTATCCTAGGTAGTTAGGGGACAGTCCAAGCTGTTGTATCTTCTAGGACTGTTGGATTCCCTTGGGCTTATCTTCATATACTTTTTCTTTCATTTTATTTGGCATCTCTTCACCTGTGCTCCTCTGAGGAGTGCTCTGTAGTAACAGCACATTAGCTAGTTTAACTGTGAGCATTACTGCAGTAACTTCTGTGCTAGTTCTGAAGCATCATCATCTTATTTTGGAGATGTTGGACCCTCAGATTGAAAATATTAGAAATGATTGTAATGGTTTGCAGCTTTCACTAACTCTTAATTTTTTTTATGCATTCGTTCTCCATCAAGCTTGTTGTGGTATTTTTTCACTAAAAAAAAAAGAGATGGAGTGTCAAGTTATACATGACAAAGAGCAAATTAATTGCATGACTCTTCATTGCTATGTTTGACTCATGGAAAAAGGAGCATAAAATTTGGAAAAAAAAGTACTTAAACCTCAATGGTATGAATTCATTTTTGAGACTGATGATAAAATCTCCACCTCTGAATTCATCTAGTCCAAGGTGTGGAGTGGGGACAGATTCTGATTCCCTGAACTCTTGTGTTTCTCTCACAGGACCAGACTCATAGTGTATTATTAGGAAGTAAATGTGTTGACTTTTTTTGTTCTGCTTACCCCCACTATCAATTTTATAGTGGGATGAAGTGGATCTAACAGAAACAAAATACATACCAAGCTCTGTATGCAAGCACAGGAATGGTTTGAAGTTTGATTCTGGATTTTGAAATCCCAAAGAAATACCCAGCATAATTCAGAAAGATGCTTGGAAGAGGATGATGACAAATCTTCCAATTGAATCTTATTTTATAGGGGAGAACTAAGGTTCTAAACGTTTCTTTATAGAAGGGTGGTTTGTGCTGCCAGATTATGTAGCGTTATGTATGTAACAGCATCTCCACGTCTCATTGAACCAGAGTTTGTTTAAGCAGTGGATTTTTAAATGTCTAATTTCCATGTTTTACAGGCCCTGCTGAATTTGGCAGAACGTCTGGGAGAAGCCAAGCCACGAGGACTGACGAAGGCAGACATTGAACAACTCCCATCCTATAGGTTCAATCCAAACAACCACCAGTCAGAGCAGACACTGTAAGTACACATTTCTTTCAAAGTTACATAGTTTATCTGGCTGTATTTTCATTTCTTTAGACTGAAGCCTCAGCTGCACTGTAAGAACTAAAAGCAGTGATTAATTAATAAAACTGTTTACTGATAAAGATAGAACTCATTTAGTATTCTCTGTTTACATTGCTACACTGCTCATCCTCAAACACAAATACAGGTAACTGTTGTAACTGCTACGATGCTGCAGTTGTATCAGCAAAGTTGTGTGTGACATATATGTTTGGTGTTCTTAAATAGCAGATACATTTGAACTTTGCTGTCTTTTTTAGGTGTGTGGTGTGCATGTGTGATTTTGAGTCAAGGCAGCTACTTAGAGTCTTACCCTGTAACCATGAGTTCCATGCCAAGTGTGTCGATAAATGGCTTAAGGTAAAAAAAAACAAATAAAAGAAAAGTTTTAGAGGGAATTCATTATGTATGGGTTTTGAGGTGGGATGGTTATTGTTTTGGGATTTGATTGTTGTTTTACTGTTCTTCATTTCTTCTTATTTCATTTTTCTCCATTTTTTGAGTAGAAATGCCAGCAGACTTCAGAGCACTATATAGTTATGTTATTTTTTAATGATTGATTCAGTATGTTTCTTTATAATCTTCGGCATAAGGAAGAAGGAACATAAAGAGAATTGTTTCCATGGTTAGATCTGTCTTTTCTGTTTTCACAAAATAATCCCTGTGAATTCAACTTTAAATTCATGAATACACGAATCAAAAAAGAAATGGTATGGTAACATAAGAGGTACAAATTAGAGCTTCTCTGTTGATGGTGAATTTGTTTTCAATATCATGTGTAGCAAAGAGTAAATGTTAATATTTCCTTTCTGCTTTGCTGTCAGTGTTAGGTTTTGAGGCACCTCAAGTATGTTGTATGTATGTGTTTATACATGCATACATACATATTTATGTAAATGCAATATACACTATTAACATTTAACCTGTAATTATGGTTTTACATAATTAAGATATAGTCTTTCAAAACAACTTAAGGAGAAATGAAAGAATCTAGAAGCTGGATAGCTCAATAAGGTGACAGAGAGTATAGGAACTTATACAGAAGGCATGAAGAATAGGAGATGTGAATAAGTAGATGATGACATGCAGAACGTCTTTACAAATTGCATTAGCCAGACCTATTGCCAGCAAGGTATTAATTCCCATTTTGTTGCACTTTTTTTTCTGTATTTTATTCTCTTCAGCTTCAGGTTAATCTGTGTGTAATCTCTGCACAGAATTTGAAACTGCAGTGATTGTGTTAAAAAACATTTATTGGAAAGTCTCTGGAGAGACTTATAGATGAAATCAGCTGGAAAAAGAAATTAAAAAGCCCTTGGCTTTTTGGCTTCATAACAGCAAGAAAATGCCTATCTTTCGCATATATGGAAATATTTTGTGCAAAGAATGAAGAATCAAGTTAATACTGACAGCATCCTTTCAGCTAACTTTTGGTAGAACTATTGTCCCTTGGTATTTGAATCCACACACATAAATGAGCACCAGCAAGAGGAATATAAACATCTAGTTGTTTTATCTTCAGATTTAGTAAATAGAATAATCATAATAAAGAAAAACTAACAAAGATACAGGCTACTGAAAGTGGCATTCTTCATTGTCCGCTATCTCTGTGCTCAGGAAGTGTTCACACTAGATTTGTAAAATCTTTTTGATACATAAAACTTCTTAAATTGTTTATGCAGTTGACAAAGTAACCACAAATAGTACTCAGTTTATTTTGTGAAAAAAGAAATTGTTTCCTTGGACTTCACACAGCCTTTGATACAGAGGATTACATCTACATTAAGTTAGTTACATAGATTTTAAAGAGAATGCTCTTCCCAGGCTATTACTGCAGGAAACATGTGTCTCATTCAGGGAGCCCCTGGTCTGCAGATTACTAGGAGTTAGGAAAATACAGCAGGGAAGTATCATGCATGCTTGTCATGTTCCTTGTGCTCTTTGTTATATATTTTTGGTCTCAAGGGTCAGGCAGTTAAATGAATCTTTTTTGGGACTCAGTGTAGTAGTTCTGAAGTTGCGTTCAGTACTTTGAGTTGGTAGTGAACTAGCAATTGAATTCAAACCAGCAAACTAAAAAAACCCAGAACCTATTGTAACCTTTATTTTACAATCTTAAATGTTCTGTATTAGTGATAAAAACAACTATGACCTAATCTGGATGTCTCTCCTAGGTTAGGAACCACTTATTTTTGAGTAGGTCTGAGTATGGTATTGTCTAATTTATCAGAAAAAGAACTGTAAGCTTAAGCATCAGCTTAAGCAGAATGGGGTGAAAGGTGTGCAATCTAAACTTAAAGGGGGTGCAGCTGCATCCACAAAAATGGCTTGTATTGGCCTAACGTTTTAAAATTGGATGCAAAATGAGCTAGACAAGCATAAAGCATTATAGTGGAGGGTTGCTAAATCAGTCTGTTTATACCACATAGGTTTAGTTACACTATAAGAAGATGCTGTGTAAAATAAAGATTATTTTGCTTTGCAAACTAGAGCAAATGACCTGTATAACTTCAGCCTATTTTAGCAAAAGCCTGTATTTACAGTTAAAGCAGCCACCAACTGGAAGTGAGGGTAACTACAGGATATTGTGGCTTATAACTTTTTGGTTTTGTCCATTTTCTTATGCATGCATTTTATACCTTTAGAGTATAGTCGTCTCCATGTAATTCACATCATCCAATCAATATCATACTGATTAATATGCAAGAAAAGTAAAAATTGTAGCTATTAGTACTTGAAACCTAAAGAAGCCACCTCCCAAAAAACCAAACCCTAACAATGTCAGGAGTCATGTTAAAGAGCGATGTTTCATGTTACGTTGGTATGTACTTAATTATTTATCTTGCAGTTACCCCTTGAGTCATTAATATGTTGAATTTTGAAGAACTTGCCAATTATTTTAAAAATTACATAAGCTGAACTATATGTAGAATAATGCAAAGTAGCAGCCAAGTGATGGTATTGTCCTCAAGTAATTGCAGGACTGTGGGAAAAAGAGCAAGAAATAATTAATGATTCTCTAGCCGTGCTTTACAGAAACTATAAAAGATTATTAAATACAACAGAAACTATATATCATATATATATATCTATATCTATATTTATATAGGAGTAATAGAAAAAATGTTATTCATTTTAATTATTTCATTAAGAAGTGTTTTTTAGTAATGGCATGCTACTTCCATTGACATTTACAGTTCATACTTGAAATGTGTGGCAATGATTTCTGTACTGGGACTGGGGGAACCATGTTTTCTACTGCTGTCAGTTTTGTTTTCATTGAGAAGTTTGGATACCTCTGAAAAACTTGAAGCTGAGAGTGGTTGATTTTGTAGTTGTGGGCATTGTGAAGGAATGCTCAAGGAATGTTACCTTTCATCTATCTTCCCTTTTTAAGGAAGCTGTAGAAAGTTGATGGATATGTATTTTCAGTGAGCGCTTTAATGAAGGGCTAAAGTTAGGCCTCTTTTTCTGTGTGTTATTACTTGGGCTTTGAATTTTAATACTTATTTAATCAGATCATCTCCCTTCTTTTCTTTTTTTTACTAAAATCCCTTCTGTTTTTCACTGCTCTGCCTTTAGCTTTTACCAACTCCGTTTGATGAGTTTCTTTAAGAATAACTGGATAAAGAGAGTATGAAGAGATGTGATGATCACTGATCAGCACAGCTTGTGACAACGTGGCAGCTTTGTTTAATAATTTGGGGCATTTATTGCCCAGTCCAAAGTGACTTGTTTAATTTTGATGGGTTTCACAGAACAGACAGTACCCCTTCCTAGTTGCTCCCTTCTGATTGCAGTTTACAGTTACAGCATATCTACATTAGTATAACCACTGGCACTTAGAACAAAGCCCAGTTTGCTGCATTTTTTATCTCTTTAATATTAAATTAATATTAAAAAGCCTCTTTTTTTTTGTAAGTGTAATTATGAATTGACAGACTTAAAACTCTGAAGTAACAAAGTGCGTGAACGCGCCTTGTCATTTCTTGCTTTTGAGCAGTCTTGAGCTTTGAAAGTAGCAACATTGTTATCACAGATGTTCCACATCATGTCATACATGTGTTTGTCATTACAGTAAACCCTTTTTTTGTTTCTGGTTTTGCAGGCAAATCGTACCTGCCCAATTTGCAGAGCTGATGCTTCAGAAGTGCATCGTGATTAGAGTGACCAATCTAAGAGCACAAATCTGGTTTGGGTGTTCCTGGTCATGTGTATATATGAACTATCTATTGAACTTACCCATGTGGCTTCCAGCCTTTTCCTTTACACAAAAGGGTCAGTGGACCTTACTTTGCACTGTGTGACTTAATCAATTATAAAGCTTATAACTAGTCTTCACATCTACGGGATTGTTATACTAACAGTGTGATTGGAACTCCAAAGATTTTTTTCTTTAGCTTAATTCTGTGTGTGCACTAACATTCCCTGGTTTTTGTGTGATCATTCTGAGTGTTGCTGCGAGATTACTGTGGACGTGAACTTTTAGCATGTGCTTTTATATAAAAGAAAAAAGAAAAAAAAAAAAAGTGGTAGCTCCAAACAGTATAGCAATCTACCTTATATAGAGCCTTCAGATACTGTGAGTGGGAGTGAGTGGTGTGAATGTTTGCTTGTGAGAGAATGTGTGAAGCGTGCTTGGGAGTGAGTGTGCATGTGTGTTTGAGAACCTATATACCAGCATGTGCTGAGAACGTATGTGTGTAGTATTAATTATGCTGCAATGTATAATCTTGTGTGTTATTTAAACAGTACTAGTACTGTACACTGGTTCCTTTCCTTGTGTTTGCAGTTGCACACTAAATACAATGGGTGCAGCAATTACAGACATTTAGTATTTCCTCCCCAATGTACTTACAGGTACTTACCTGTCTACCTGCTATTCAAACAAGCTGTTATGCTTCCCTTTACTTGGAGGCTTTAAGTGCATACCACTAAAGGGGTCATTGATTGTTCATAGATGAGTAATGTTGAGTTTTAGCATACATTACAGAGCTCAGATTTTACTTTGCTGATTTACAAGTTATTTTATCAATGTAAAGTTGCAATATCACACAAATCGTTTAGCAATATTAACATTTTCAATTGGTAATTTCAGTATCAACATGTTCCTGTTCTCCTTTTCAATTTTTCTAGTTAGGCTATAATTGCATTCAGTTGATTTGACATTAGAGCTGAGTTATGAAGGTGCTGCAGTTATGCACTTCTTTCATGAAAGGAAGCAGAAAGGACGCTGAGGGTCTTGTGCAACAGCCCTTCATTTTTTGCCATTGTGCTTGCTAAATAGATAATCCTCTAGCTTACAAGCATTGGCTTTAATCATACACATTTTTTTTTGTCATTACAAAGGAGTTTGTATACAATTAAAATAACTTGTAAGAGGTTACAATTTTATTCCTGCAACTTCATGAATAAAATAAAATTTCTAGCATTTTCTCAGAGAAGTAGAACTTCTGTTTTTTTATTGTATCACAAAAGAGGGTGGTTTTTGGTCACTCATTGCAGAATTCAGTTGCCCCGATGCTGCTTCTTGTCCCTCATTGTTTTCATGATGAGTGTAATGTGAAGAAGGAACTCCCTTGGTTTTTGCAATTGAGTTTCCAGAATACTCCACCGCAGTACGAAACGGGAGCACCTTCTGAACAAAATACTGTTAAGCAGGAGGTAGCTTCAATCCAACTGCTTTCTGAATAGTGTTTTCTGTGTGCTTTTTTAAAGAAGTAGCTCCATTTACAACATTTCAGACTGTTAGCATCTTCAGCATTTTCCTCCAAAATACTAACGTCCACCTATGCCATAGTTATTCAGAGGATGCCCTTCTCGCATCAGATTGCTTCTCCTGAATTGTCATTACTTCAGTTGCAGCAGCACAAGTGGCACAGTTAGCAATATTGCTGCAGCTTGCTGCCAGTCTCAGCTTTAAGTTGATTCTCTGTCGTTTCTGATGCTTTTGTATGCTGCTATGCTTTAGTATCAATTATAATTTCAGTGTTACATGTTCTCCATGCTGTTTGCCCTCTTTCAGTATTCTACAGACCAATCACAGCTGATGGTGCAGATGAAATAAAAGCACAATTTTGCCCTATGTCAGATGCTCTTGCTTCCATTTGTGTAGTTACACAGGTAGTTCTCAGAAACACTGAGTCTTTCCATTTCTATTCATATGTAAGAACACAAAACAAATGAAAACATGCTGTTAGATCAAAATACTAAAATTTCTCCTCTCTTCCAGAGGAGTTAGAATAATCTTCCACAATAACACCTGGTAGGTTAAAGTACATATAGTAAAATTTATTTTTTTAACAAATGAAATCATCTTGTTTAAAAAAACATATACCACTTGTCTTACAAAACTTAGGCTCTTTTATATAGCTGCAAAAGAAAAATTTCTATGCGTGCAAATTTAACCATGATTAACGCTATGTTTGATATTCAGTTTGAAGCATGGGAAGAGGGCACTTCTCTAAGCATTCGCATTCTTCTGAAGCCAAGGGAAAGTCACCCTTTTTCTGGAATTGAGAAATCCTGATGTGTAAAGTCCCTTTCCCAGTGGAACTCTGTGAGGCACTGGGAGACTGAGGAGTTGGAGGGTCTAACTGGGTAAAATCCTGAAATGATTTGTTGCACTCTTACGGCTTGTCTCTTCTGAAATGGTTCATTTGTTTGCATGGGTCTATTGCAGATGTATGTGGACTTGCTTCCTGTGGTTAGTGTGTGTAAACAGCACACGTGCACATGTTCTGGATCAGCTCAGATGATCCACAGCCAGTCTCGGTTGTGGCTATTGATGGGGATTCGTGCTGAGCTGCTCGCTGCCATGTGTTCTGTATATTTGTGTGTATCTTCTCAGCCTGCCATGGTGCCAGGCAGCACCAGCATCCAGCAAGACGTTTTTTATGTTCCTTCCCTTCCTGACTTCACCTGTCCCTTTCCTTCCTAAACAGTCCATAAGACATTTGCTTTATCATATTGGCACTGCTGTGGCTTTGGCATAAACTGCCAATTAAATTTGAAGTTTAAGGGGATATCAAGGCCTACAGATAATTCCAATGTCTCATTTTGTGACTTTCTTTACAAAAAAAAAAAAAAAAAAAAGTAAGCCTTTTGTTGTATACTGTTTTATACGGGCTCTTGAATGTGATTTCACAGCTGTTAATACATCATATAATACCTGGGATGGGATTTACCAACTTTTTTTTTTTGCTTTACTTACAGAAAACACATTTTTGACTGAGTTATCTTTGGGCCTTTTTAAAAGCTGTGTTTTTTTTTTTTCCTTTGGTACATTGTTACCTCATTTTGCTACTTGTATTTCAGATCTATTAATGATTCTGAAAGCTTGTGACTTCTGTTGGAATCATATTTTGTCAGTTGTTTTCTTTAAATCATACTCTTTTGAATCACTTAATATGTAGTTTTAAATGTATTATAAATATCTGTAACCAAATCGTTTGAAGGCTTGATAAATTTTTAACAAAATTTGTACATTTTTTATGAGAGTTACTAGTAATGCTTTACTACGTAGTGCAATGAAGTTTTATTTTTAATCCCTGTGCCCAATTTTGGAGTTGAGAGAGTTGTTCAGTAATAAATGTATGATGTTCACTTACACAAGTTTGTCTTGTTCTTCTTTGTGCCTTGTTTCTTTTCACTGCTCCCCCTATTTCTGTGCATCATCATACAACTAACTTCAGATGTTGGCAACATCACGGTCGTGGCATTGGGGAAAAGTTTGCCTTCTAAGCTGTAGTGCATGCAGTCATAAAATAACTTAGGTTGGAAAAGACTTGTAATATTGTCAAATCTGTCCTCCACCTAACATTACCGAGTCCACCACTAAACCATTTCCCTAAGCCCCACATGCACACATCTCTAAGATACCTCCAGCATGACGTGGGCTTTTGAAAAAATACAAGATAAATGGGCAGACATACAACAGGGAGAGAAGCAGCCCTTGGGCAGCATTTGGGGTATTTGTTTGAAGCTCCTGGGCATGTGGAAGTAGGCACAGAAAGCACTTGTCAGGTGGCAGGCGATGTGACAGGCTTGCCTTGCCAGATGGTCTCTGCACTATCAGACTTGCAGATTTTCTGCCTATGATTCTTGATAATTGAGTGTACTACTCCTTAGCTGTCCCAACTACAACCAAATCCAAAATCTGTACTGCTTGATCTTGAATAACAAGCCAAGTTCCAGCCATTCTATACATCTGTGAGTCCATGTTGCTTGTAATCCACCAGTTATCCTTAATTTTGGTCAGCAGTGAAATGCTTTTCCCCCACATCTCTTCCCTTGCACCCTGAGAATACATACAGTTCTTGACTCCTTCAAAAAAGAAAGTGTTTATGATCATAAGTCTTGCTTCCAAAGAATATCTTTGTATACTACTTTTCTGCAAGCAGTCTGTGAGCTGACTGGTTAATGGTCTCTGTAACTGCTTATGAGTCCAGTCCTATCATCTTTGTAGGTAGAAGAAAGATAACAGGAAAGCACTGATAAAGAAGCTGCAGTACCCTATCTCATCCATGCAGGTACTGAATAGGTAGGATAGCAGGCTGAGTATATGTCTGCAATGTCTTACACGTTCTGTGTTTCTGTATGTTCTTTTGCCTCCTTGGTGCACGTTACCACTGTCAAAACAATGTAACCCAGGGCTTAACATTTTTGTGCTTCCTATAACAAGGACAGGAAAAACAAGGGCCGTTTAGCAGCCTGTCTCGGTTGTTACCAAAGCTGGGGTTGTTGTTATCAAAGTACTGGGGTACTCTGCAAGGCTTTATCAAGAACTTTATCAAACCAGAAGCACTGGTTGCATAGTAACATTTGCAGGTCTCCAGTGCTGATTTTGTCAGAGGCACATTCCTTCTAGCACTAGCCCATTGCTGGCTTTCAACCGCTTCGCCCTAGCTTTTGGATGACGGGTAGGATTCCAGAGATCTACAAACTTTCCAAAACAAGCTTAAGTTAAGCTTCGCTTCTCTAGTTAAGAGCAGCTTTCTGGCATCTGCCATCATCAAGTGATGCAGCAGTGCCATCACAAACTTCTGAAGGGGTTGTAAAAGGAAGGTGGAGAAAGAAGGATAAGGTAGAGTTTATGGCCTTTTCTTGCACAAAGATCCTGCTGAATTACATCAGTATACTCCTTGTATAAAGAGCCTAGTTGTACCTTTTTGTGCATCTGCACTATAGAACGTGGAGAAATTACCATGCTATAAAAGTATGGTTCTTGGACAGAAGAATCAGCAAATATGTGAAGGTGTCTCATAATTTGGAATGTGTGGACTGGCTGAAAGTCCTAGGGAAAAAAAAAATATCACCACATTTGCAAAGAGAAATTGCAAAGAGATGAAAGAGATGTTCTCAATCATGGCAAAATCTGCACTAGAAACCAGAAGAGCATCTGTGAGCTTGGACATCTGCAAGGCCATGTCTGCTGTCCCCAGGCAGTGGCTGTTTTGCCCATGCAAAGGATGTTCCAAGTGTATCAGTGGTTTGACCACAACCACTTAGCCTGAAGAGTGGAGTTGCCCATAGATTCTTTTTCTGACCCTTCTTCACCTTACCACATCCCTTGAGTCACAGCACTTTTTTCCTCAGTCTGTAAAGCAACTGTCCTAGCTCACACTGCTTTACCTCTTCACCTGAGTTTTCTGGCATTGCTGAGTATTCTGGCATTGCTGGAGTTTAGCTGACAATTTCTGTCATTCATTTTAGGTAAATCGTACCACCGTCTTCAGATTCTGCATCCCTTGTGTATGCTTGTGACCCTTTTCTTCCGTCTTACTTCCACCTACTGGCCGCGGCTGGAATCTTCCTTCCCCAGCAGCTCCCATATTGGTGCACACAAGCCCATGACCTCCAGCTGTGCCATCTCTTTGCATCTGACCGGTGTTTTTTCCTTGTCCTTAGTACTTATCAGCTGATTTAGGAATGATGGTATGCTTGAAAGCAGATGGAGTTCCCTATTCCTTATCTATACTCTAAAGATGGCCTTGTATAATCAGGGACACTGGCACTACTGTAGATTTTGTCCAGTTCCCTTTGCTAACCTCGGTAGGTTTTGATTTATGTAAGAATATGAAGAAATTCCCCTGTCAGCTGCTGCATCCACAAAGCACTGTCCTTTATCAGACATGCAACAGACTCTGTAATCAGTTCTAAAAAGCTGTGTTCTGCCTAACAGCCTTCCTGTGCAGGGCTTGCATGGATTGCGCTATGCCACTTACACCCTACCATGTCTTGCAGTGCAGTTTCCCTTTTCTCTGAACGAACTTGTGAACCATTATCCTTCTGGTACCCAGGACCAAATTTAGCATTTTTAAATTTAGCATTATGATTATTTTTTGTTTTGGAATGAGCAGCTGATTAACAGCTTGGAGAGAAAAAGTGCCTCCATGGCACCGCAAGGGAAGTCCAACCATTAAAGGTGTGTTAACAGCTATGCAGAGGCCCATCAGGGACAGTGAAGGCCAATGGTATATAATAAGTGTCAGATGAGCAGCATCAAGTTATCTGGGTGCTGTCATGTTGATTTCTGAGCTGTTGAACCTTTCCTCAAAGTTCCACTTAGCACACTGAAGTACTAAGGCCTGAACAACCCACCCTGAACCAAAGCTGACCTCCAGATGAACCTCACAACCAAGCATTATATAATATTAGTGTCTGATCATTGGCAAGATATGTAGCTTAGATAGAACATTTTCAGAGTGCCTGTCCACTGGCAAAACACACACATATTTTCATGCGTGCCACTGGCTACAGACAGACTCACAGCCGCTCATTTTTTTGCAGTAATAGCGGTGAAAGAAGATGCAGTGTCTGATGGACACAGTGAGCATTCTTCCCACTGCAAGGTTTACCAAAATTACTCAGTCACTGCATTCACCATCCCAGTCTCTGGGCTGTCTGAGAGACAGCAGGCACACTACGAGATTTTTTTTTCAGCGTTTCCAGCATTTCTTGCACACATTTCTCTCTCACAGCATCCTATTTTTCTCCTCATACACTGACTTCATATGTGGCTCATTGATATTTTGCATTCATACTTGCTAGCAATTTTCCTACTGGCCCATTTAGCTGCATTTGTACTCCTTTATCTAATTCATAAATTAATATAGTATGGTCAACAATAACTGTGCTTCAGCCTGCAGGGATGTCCACCAACTAGATTTCCCAAACCACGGATTTCCTGATTTACTTAGTTATGCGGCCTTGATACGACAAAGGATCTTTTTAAAGTGGTGATGATACAGCAAACAACTGATGAAAATCAAGTAGAGTGTCAGTCACGGACATCAGCCTGTCCTGAAGTCATGGTGATGTCTGCTGGCGTGGCCTTGGGAGGGCAGCACTGGGTCAGCAGTGTTACTGAAATGTCAAACTGGCTTACCCATGTGATTCAATAAAGTCTTCTGTTATTAGTAACGTAGAATCATTAAGGTTGGAAGTGACTTCTGGAATCAACAATTTCAGCCTTCAGCCCATCCCCATCATGCCCACTGCCCACGTCTCTCAGTGCCACAAACATCCACACGGTTCTCGGACACCTCCAGGTGCAGTCACTCCTCCACCTCCCTGGGCAGCCTGTAACGTTGCTATTTGCTCTGCTTAAATGCCTCCAGACTGAAAATACAGTGACTTTCAGTGTTGTCATTACTTTTGTGTTTGCTGCTGTTCCTCCTGTGTGCCAGAATGCAGTGGGTATTAGGAGAGCATGTTTCTGAGTGTATGCTCTTTAGCTTAAAGTACCTTGCTTTGGTCTGGCCAGCAGTCCCACTGCCTGGAGAGCACCCAGCTGGAAGCAGCGGGAGTCCAGGTGGACCTGGGGTCACGTTACTGGTGGGAAATTAGGTGAAAACCAAGATTGCTTGATTTGAGGCAGGGCTATCTCACATGCTGTTCCCTTGCACAGTATTAAGGGACAAAATAAAGCTTTTTTCAGGTACAGGAGCTTGGTAAAATGCTTTCCAAAAGACAGGGTGTGCAGCCTGGAGAAACATACTCACCGAAACAGGTTTGCTGTGGTCTGGAGGGTGTTTGTTTTATTGGAGAAGGGAATGTGGGGAGAGAAGTTAGGCAATTCAAAGCTTATTTGAGTCGCAGGAATCCAGGCCATTGTGCAATCCTTTCAATAAACAAAGGTAAGTGCTCCTTTTAGGAGCTGAGACCACCAAGTGAAATGAGAAGGACTTGTGCTCAAAACAAGGAAACAAAATGTATTTCAAGCAACAGACTACATACAAAATTATATACATGACATAATGTTTGTATGGTTTACCATCTTAAAAACAAACAAACAAGTAAATGAATGAAAAGTAAGAACTGCAATAGTTTTGCATAGTGATTTAGATAGCATTTATTTTAAAATTCATAAGACTGTAATAATTAAAGTCATAATAATGTGTACTGGTGCTTGTAAAGCACATGGTTTTACAGTAACCAAAGTATTAGCTCTCTTATGTCTTGCTTTTGCTCTTCATGTGAAACAAAAGAGGCTTACGAACAAGATGTCCTTGCTAACAACATTATTTATGCAAAGGCTTACGAACAAGATGCCCTTGCTCTCAGATTTGTGCAGAAGCTTGCAGATTTCTCTCCAGCTGGTGTCTG